ATGTTATGGTACTTTTTTTACAAATTCAATTATATGAGCGAGCTTCGGTTTACCAACATCCTTTATTATTATTATGCACGATACATTGACCTTGTAACCTTCTTGATCGATAATACCCTTAGCGAGCCTGATAAGTAAAAACGTTGAGAAGCAAGTCCGCCCCCGCTTCTAACTCCACCACAACGGAAGGTGACGACCATGCGCAGCTCGTAAGACGTTTTCCATGAACAATAAATATGGTAAAAGGAGTAAATCCAGCTCAACTTCGAATAAATTTTTTCTTTGGTTTAAACTCACAAAGACCGGAAAAAACAGAGACGACTGCGAGACATTGCGCGCGGTTTACGTTTGACACGTTCGGTTTCTAAAGTAAAACTGATTCCTCGCCGGCGGAAGTGTCAAGTGACATAGCGGCTGCAATAATGCTGACCAATCGAATAATTGACCTAAATGAAATGCTATTGTATAATTAATATTAAGGAAGTAAAAAAATAATACAAATTATAAAATTGTTTTAATACATTTTCATTAACAAATATGATGTACGTGAACAAACCTACTTTTTGCCATTGTAGCAGGAAATATTTCATATCCCATACCATCTGATAACCAATACTCTTCTAGATGTGTCCTTGATCCATGATGGAGCCCAGCTAAATAAAGCAAACACATCAGCGCTTGGATTTCTACAGAGTCGGTAGGTCTACCCTCAGTCTTATCTTGGTATTTAACAGAAATTTTATCAATATATAAATTAGTGTTTTCAACTACAATATCGGTGCAGTTTTCAAACATGTACATCCAGCATTGGATGGGAGATAATGCGTTACTTGCTTCACCGATGACCCCCGAGAGGTGATACACTATGTTTTCGTTGCGCGTTCTAATATTTCTAGGTGGGACAGCTTTTTTCCATTTAGTTCCATCTTTACCAAAAAAATACGATCGTCTATCACGAATCACGGGTTCTTGTCTTCATCGTCCTCGCCCGATGCATAATTTCTGCATCTTCATTGATGTTTTCCTGCTCGTTTCTGTATCATGATCATTGACACTTACAAAATCTGGATCTGACATCGAAGTATCGTCAGACTCTTTAATTTCACTGCTCGTGTCAACTTCTTCATACAGTTTCAGTAATCTTTCTCTTTCCTTTTCATCAGGATCCATATCACAATGCTATCAAATAATAAATCATTTCTTATTATTTTGTCAAATCATGTCAGAAAATTGTGTGATACTACTATAAGAATAAGTAGCCAGGAAGAGTCATTATTAACACTAAAAACTTCTAATTTCAGCTTCAATTTTGTGATTTTATAACTCCAACAAATTCATTGTTATTAAAACAGACGCTTCGAAAGATGAATTATATATCTTAAATGTACAGTATGTTAATTAATTATCGTACCCGACGTCATCATTGCAAGTATGCAACCAATATCACAGTATTGGTATTACAATACGCAAATCGTATATTGCAATACCAATACTGTGATATTTGTTGCATACTTGCATTGATGACGTCAGGTACGATAATTAATTAACACACTGTAGTTTATACATTCAACAAATCTCTTAATAAGAGTTTATTTACAAAGCTTCACAAATCAGTACATTTTCTTCCATGATGCATTGAAAGAACTAATCACAAATTTCTAAAAGAAATATGAAATAATTTTTAGCCTTAGATAATAAGTTTCATCTGGTTATCTTAATATCCCACACAAGATTACTTGAACCTTTTTACCCGTTTTTTTTTTAAGTTATCCAAGAATATATAAGGATTATGGTTACATTTACCACCGACCGCAATTTCAAAGACCTTCCCTTCCGGTTTTATCCGAAATGGACGCCGAAAGCAAAATCACCCGTTCTCGGATAAAAGATGGAAAAGGGTAAGAAGGAATGAAGGACTTTTTCGCTGGGTATTAAAGATTATATAAAGAGTACCAAAGGTAGATCGTTTTCAATAAATCCAGTTTCGATTAATTCTTTTTTTTAATAAAACTTTTAAATCTATAAATTTAAATTTAAATTAAAATTTTTTGTCTAACTTGTATCGTGTCAAACTTTAGTATAAAAGAACGAAACGAGAATGAGTTGGTTTACTTTTTAGTGTCGCACGTTTTGTCGTTCGTCATAAAATGTGAAAGTGGAGAAACGTGAAAATTGAGTGTCTCAAGATTTAACATCGTCACAAATATTATATTTATATTATAAGAAAATAAATTGTATTAATCAAAATCTTTAGGTAATTGCCTCACATTATTCTTGAATTCACCACATTCGAACCAGAGCAAAGTTCCTAATGAGTACCTAACACCTGCGAATACCACAGGACGTGGAAATCAAAGAGACGTTAAATCCCCCTTCCGGCTGATTGCGAGGAAAAGCACCCAAGGCGTGAATTATGCCACGTTAATTGTAAATTGATCGATTTTCTTAATTGGAACACAACTGATTGTGAGGGAACATTCTCGTTCAGTGTTCCACTTTATTTCGTTTTTAATCCAATTAGACTTTTTTTTTTCGCTTACATCCTAAGGTTTCTTCACGCCTACATAGGATTATGTAAAGTTACAGACCGAAACGTATTGATTATGGACTTAAAATGGGTTTAAAATACGTTGTACTAATAGAATAATGTTATGAATCGATTTTTCGAAAAAAATTAGGGATTATTTAAAAAAAAGTGTGATGATTTACTGGAAGAGAGAAAAAGAACGTTTGAAATGAAGTAATATTTTTACCAGGAGCGGAAGCCTCTTTGATTTATGTCCGTGCCAGTAAAATGCATTCTATTCACGGGATTTCATGCGTTTAAGATACACCTTTTCGGTTAGAAATTTATGCCCTTCATAAAATTTTTATGAAGAACAAAAAATTTTTAGTCACAAAATTATGTTGTTAAAAAAAATAAGTCTAGGAAATATGCAATCGCCATTTAAACCATTTTATCAACGTCAGAATAACTTTAACTGCCTGAATAGTTCATCACAAAGAATGAACATGCCTAAACCAACATTCATAGATTTCTTTACTTTTATTGTAAGACCTTATGCATAGCTGTAAACAGAAGTTGTAAATGCCTTAAATGATCTTTCCATGACATAGAATGAACTAAATCATCCAAATAATTTGCAAATTCTCATCTGTAAGCGATTGCCGGACTGTGATTCCAAGCTTGGAAAGAATTTCATTGAAGTGGAAAGTTGCAAAACGAATGAAGTTGCTTTTTTCAAAGCGATACTCTCGAATTGTTAAATATTCAGTTTACTAGTGAACAGCCGAGATTACAGAACTTCGAAAAATATGTTGAAAAAAAAAGGACTCTCAACAGGGTTAGGCTGCTTAAATCTGTCAGTTATAAAAGCAAGGTGAAAAAATGGGACGAAATGACCAAGACCCCTGTGGCAAGGTGGGCTTAGCTGCGCTCCTAAAACTCTTTCTGAACATGTTCAATATCTGTCTCAGAGAAGACACCTTCTGCGATAGGTTTAAGACTCAATGGCTCGTCCTTATACCTTAGATGAAAGGCGAAACATTAAGCACTATGTCATTTAGCCACTGTGCTTGCAATCGGTGCCATCTTCGAAATTGTAAACACCTTTGCTGGACCCAAGTCATAAATCACTATTCTAGACCCATTGTTGTCTTGGTTACTCTAGATACACAGATACACACTCTTGACAGTGTTTTTGGTGGGCTATGAGGACGATCGTATGGTAGTTGTTATATATGCCATCTATAGGAATTAAGAGGAAGTGAGGATAAGGAAGAGAACAGGAGAGAAGTTAGCATCTGACATAAAAGAGTATAGATTGTAAAAGGTCATTCGTTTTACCTTACGTTGTAATAAAGTAAGAAAGAATACATAGATAAATAAACAGTACTTAAAGTTAACTTGAGACTTTATTTTACTTACATCGTACATGCACAACAGGAGCAGTGATCCGCGTGCGGAATATGACAGAAGCCTGAGGCATCTTCCTTGCAGCTGAATAAACTGAAGTAATATTACTTATGAAATGGAAATTACCAGGTGTAAATTTGGAAAGTACCCATCTATGGAAATCTGTGGAGAACCAACTGCTTCTAAACGAAAACTGTTGATAGGCGTGAGCAGCTCTATTATGTATGGGTGTGATGTATGATCCGATAAGTTGAGGGGCGATAATGCGAACCGATTGCTTGCTACTTAGAGAAGTGGTACCCTTGGACTTACTAGCATCATCAAAACGGCGTCCGGCTCAGCTGTCGATCTAACGGCCGTGGATAGAAAAAAAAATCTGTAACCGACGGAAGATCTTAAACAGGCCAGAATGGTTACTTATGCTACTTGGCAAACAAGGTGAGACGACGAACAACGCGGTAGATGGACTGCTGAGTTTACCTCGGATGTAATGAGTGGGTGCAAAACTTAGTTCCTAATAGGACACGGATACCTCCAGAAATATGGGACATAGAAAAAATGAACAGCCTAACGTGACCTTATACAGATGCTGAATATGATAATGCTGAGCACACTCTGTTCAAGTGCAACAGATGGAAAGCAGAGAGGGGATTCTCGTCAAGATGAAAAGCTCCCCTCCAATCTTTATAAGTAAGTAGCTGTTAAACTATATCATCCAAATAATCGGCATATTCATTGCTATTTTCCAAAATGTTATCAATCAATGTTTGGAAAGAATACTGAGCAAATTGAAATCCAAATTCCAAAGTTACTGGTTCAAGTATTCCTCGATTTTACCAGCAACTTCAGTGATAAGATTATTACACTATGCAAGTCATATGGCAGAATTTAAATACGAGGTTGTATACAGAAACACAAAAGACCATTGCAATGCAGATTTTTTATCTAGATTCTCCACAGAAGATTACACTGATATAACCAAACTAACAAATTCTACGAGAGCACATTCTACTTAAATCAACTGAAACTATTACCAATTAATAGAGATGATATAAAAAGAGAATTAAAGAAAGATCCAGAGATAATGAAAATAATAAGACAATTAGGAAACGGATTTGAAAATGATCAAAATTTATTAAAATTCACTTTGGAAGATGGATGTTTGTTTAATGGAGTGAGGATAGTTGTTCCAAAGACTTTACAAAGAAGAATTCTAGAGGAATCACATACAGCACACACTGGTATTGTTAAAATGAAAGCACTCGCAAGAAGTTATGTATGGTGGAAAAACATCGATGCCGACATAGAAAATTTAACAAAAGGATGTAAACAATGTTGTCTTTATAAAAACAATCCTAAAGCAGTGACACAATTTCACACATGGGATAGTCCAAGATCACCATGGCAACGTGTATACATCTACTATGCAGGGCCATTCCAAGAACATTACTTTTTAATTATCGTGTATGCTTATACAAAATACTTAGAGGTCTTTCCAACAAAATCAATGACAACCTCAATAACAATAGAAAAACTAAGAGAAACTTTCAGCCGTTTTGGACTACCAGTTGTTTTGGTTAGCGATAATGCTACAAATTTTAAAAGTCAAGAATTCAAAGAAGTTATTAACGCGAACGGAATAATACATAAAAATTCTGCCCCATACCATCCCTCTAAAAATGGACAGGCGGAGAGATATGTACAAACGGTAAAAGGAAAACTTAGAGCTATGTCATCTGAGTCTGGAAATATTGGGTTAAAATTATGTAGACTTTTAATGCAGTATAGGAAAATACCAAAGACTACCACAAACCAAAGCTCAACAGAATTATTGTTTAGAGGAAAATTTCGTACTAGAATCGATTTGATTAGAAGAGATTTGGGAAGAGAAAAAGTAGAACCAAAACATCAAAATACAAAGATTAGAGAATTTCAACCAAGAGATTTGGTTCTTGCCAGATTCTATAATAACCCAGAAAGGAAATGTAAAACAGGAAAAGTTACGAATAAGAAAGGAAAATTACATTACGAAGTGGAGATAGATACTCTCAAAAGACATATAGATCAATTATTAAGTACCAAGATCCAGGAACTAAACGAGAAAATTCCTGAGATAACCGAAGTACTAGAACAGAGAAATGAAAACATTGGAAGGAAGGAAGGAAGCGATAGTAGAGGCTACTCCAAGAACAGAAGAAGATGAAACGGAGAAGATTACATTGGAATAGGAACAGAAAACAACTGTTAATGATGCATTCTATCTGATACATTAATCAGATAGAAGAAGAAAACCACCAAACCGGTTGAATTTATAGAGAGGAGAAAGATGTTATATATGCCATCTCTTCGGATGAAGAGGAAGTAAGGATAAGGAAGAGAACAGGAGAGAAGTTAGCAACAACGTGATCTGTCATAAAAGAGAATAGATTGTGAAAGGTCATTCGTTTTACTTTACGTTTTATTTACGTTGTAATAAAGTAAGAAAGAATACATAGATCAATAAACAGTAGTTAAAGTTAACTTGGGACTTTGTTTTACTTACATCGTACATACACAACAGCAGTGATCCGCACGCGGAATGTGACAGAAGCCTGAGGCCTCTTCCTTGCAGCTGAATAAACTGAAGTAATATTACTTATGAAATGGAAATGACCTGTAAATTTATGTATTAAATTAGTAGTAAATTGTAGTAAAATGTAGTAAATTTATGTATAAATTTATATATTTTTGGAGAACCAACTGCTTCTAAACGAAGACTGTTGATAGGAGTGAGCAGCTCTATTATGTATGGATGTGATGTATGATCCGATAAGTTGAGGGGCGATAATGTGAACCGATTGCTTGCTCCTCAGAGAAGTGGTACCCTTGGACTTACTAGCATCATCAAAACGTCGTCCGACCCAGCTGTCGATCTAACGGCCGTGGATAGAAAAAAAATCTGTAACCGACGGAAGATCGTAAACAGGCCAGAATGGTCACTTATGCTACTTGGCAAGCAAGGTGGGACGACGAACAATGTAGTAGATGGACAGCTGAGCTTACCCCGGATGTAATGAGTGGGTTCAAAACGAAAACAGAGCGTGGTCTACTTAGCTCCTAATAGGACACGAATACCTCCAGAAATATGAGATAAGTGAACAGCCTAACGTGACTTTATACAGATCCTGAATATGATGATGCTGAGCACACTCTGTTCAAGTGCAACACAGAGAGGGGATTCTCGTCAAGATGAAAAGCCCCCTTCCAATCTTTGTAAGTAAATATGTTAAACCAGAATTAAAAACAATTAGTAGATGTGAAAAGATGAGAGGGGATCCACGACAGGTCGAAGAGCGTCGTACCGCCCTCCGGCTCCTCTGGACGCAGCTGAACATAAGGTCTCCTGCTAAAGTTCGGTAAAGAAGGAGGTGATTCCGAAAAAATGCCCTGAAGGAGATACTTCCTCTAACCCCCTCACTGTGCGGCATACAAGATCTAAGGCCGGGAGTCTGCCCAAAGGGTCCTAATCCCCTCTTAAGAAAAATCTATTACTGGTTTTGGTTCTTGACGTTCTTTGAGTCAAGCTTTCTTCGTTCAAAACAATACCATATTGAATCAAATTAGTTCTTGTAGGTCAATTTGAAATTCTTCTTATCGAAAGCCTTATGACTTATTATTTGTCATTCCTGATTCTGCCTATCTTGTGATACTGAGCTCCAGCTGTTATTCCATCATTTTAAAATTCTTTTTGTGCATGTTTTACCATCTGTTGTACATTCTGCCAAGCACGACTGATCAATTCTTGATACATTATTATGCATACCGTTTTCATTTCTCAAGCGTCTTAATCTCAACTGTGTCGACTCTTGCTTAAGCCGCATACGAAAGGACAGGCCTTTATTATTCCTCTCGTGCGGGCACTTGTTTGGTGATATTGTCAGCTAAAAGCTTTGTGAAAATCTTCATGGTGGTATCCAATAGCGATATACATCGCTAGTTGTTAGGGTCATCTAGCTTCCTCTTCTTATACAGGACAATACTTGTACTCTGTTTATAATCCTTTGGTACTTGACTGGTGGTGGTCTCCTTCGATATTTTTAGAGTTCATTTCTGATGTCGTTTGATCCCGACACTTTTTAGATTTTGATTTTCCTTATTGTTTCTTCCGCATTCTCTGTCATTATGTGGTATTCTGGTCACTTTGTGAGTAAAGTTATGTGAGGAATTGGAGCAGTGCTTATTGTGGCTGTCGATCGAACGGCCGTGGTGAGAAAAAAAATCTGTAACCGACGGAAGATCGTGAACGGACCAGAATGGTCACTTATACTACTTGGCATGCAAGGTAGGGCGACAAACAACGCGATGGATGGACTGCTGAGCATATCTCGGATGTAATGAGATGGTGTAAAACAACAACACAGCGAAGTCTACTTAGTTCCTAATAGGACACGGATACATCCAAAAATACGATCTCATATCTATGGGACATAGACAAAATAAACAGTCTCACGTGACTTCTAGCGGATGCTGAATATGATGATGCTGAGCACACTTTGTTCAAGTGCAACAGATTACATCTGACACCATTTCTGACAGTATGATAGTCAGCGAAACAGCATGATTAAAATAGCTACGTTTATGGCAAGTATTCTAAGAGAGATGAAAAAAAAATGGAAGTGTGTCGCATCCATTTCCCTTAACACCCCTACACCCCTAACACTCTAACTCTAACGCCGGCTGGAAAAGAAAAAGTGATAAACTGACAAACAGAATTCAATAACTGAAAGAAATGCCCTGATGGGCTACCCCGAAACAGAGAAGCCTTATGACTTATTACGACGCTTTGTCATTCTTGGTTCTGCTTCTCCTCTCATACTAAGGTCCAGCAGTCTTTCTATCGTTTTGAAGGTCTTTTCGGCTATTTTTTGCCATATCTTGTACATTTTGCCACGCACGGCTGATCAATTCTTGATACATTCATTCCATTCTCGTCGTTTCTGCCGGTCTCATCTGACGATGTCCGGGGTGTTGCATTTTTTTCTGATTTATGTGTTTTTCTTACAACCCGGTAGAGATTATTCGGATATTGTGCGTAGCGTTTTAATTTCGATTGTTCTCAAGCGTCTCTTTATCTCAACTGCGTCGACTCTTGTTTAAGCCGCATACGAAAGGTATGTCTTACGCATGTCCTGTATATTCTGGCCTTGCTTGCGATTGATAGATATTGAGTTGCATCATATTGGGTCGGAAAGTGCACCTGAGATTCTTGTTGCCTTTATGGTTCGCTTTGTGGTTTATTGAATTGTAGTGTTTCTTCGGCGATTAGTTGTGGACCGATTCGTCCGGAACCCTTATTGTTCCTCTCGTGCGGGCACGTATTGTTTGGTGATATTGTCAGCTAAAAGGTCACTTGTGAGGAATTTGCCCATTTTCTGCGGTTTGACGATATTTAGCTGTGTTGTGTTATTCACCTCTTTCCTGAGATTCCTCAGTAGCTTCCTCATCCTTTTTGAGTGCCATATATGTCAATCTCTCTGCTGAACTCCTCCCAGTGTCGTCTTTTTATATCACGGATGCGGTTGGTGACTCTATTTCTTATTGCGATGTATGCTTCACGGTGGTACGTTTTTGTGGTATGCTTTCGCCTTTTCTATGAACCAGGATTTTGAGTTTCTCTTACAGCTAAGTGACCTGCTTATCAGTCTTGTTTCTCTAAATAGTCTAAATTGTTCTAGAACTTTTGAAGCGAATATAGTTTCTCATATCCTTTTACAAATCATTTATAATCATTTCTATTTCATTCATTTCATCATTTCAAGTTTTTCATAATAAGATTTCAACAAATTTAAATATTCATTCTTGTTACATTCTTTTGGCATGTAGTTTGTGTAGTATCTAATATATTCCTTACTACTTTCTTTAGTTCTTCTCATTGCATTAGAAATTTATTCGTTCTGGCTAGCTAATATATCATCACTAATTATTGCTTTATTAGTATCTCTTCCATTCCATAAGCCTTTCAGCATACTTAATGAAGATCAAATTTGCCTTCAATGACATAATTCCGCAGGACTAAAACCATGAGCTATATCTAGCGCACGTCTTATAGAGAATACTGCTTCACCAATGTACTCATCTCAGTATTTTCCATGTACATTATTCAAAGCTGAGGATGGTATGCAAAAGTTATTTGTTCCACAAATATCGTTCATAAAAAATACTGTCCTAAATTCTGTCTATATTTCTCAAAGAAGTATCAGTGGCACATTTAGACTACTCCCAAATCCTTTTCTCTGTAATAATTGTGGGTATTTGCTTCCATTACTATTTCGGTCATACACTCTTACATACATAATGAATCTGTAATCAGCGTCAATAAGTGCTTGCAGTTACGTGTCATAAATTTTCCAATGCTTTCCCAATCTCTCTCCATATTTGTTCTGTAGGTTGAAGCATTACGATAACTCTTCGAATTGCGTCACATACTTCTTCTGCTAGGATTTTTACTGCAGCCAACCCCATGTAGTAATTGAACCGCAATGACCGAAAAAGAATTCCAGTTGCCAAAAATCAGTAAGTAATATAAAAATACAAATAATTTATTTTGGTTCCAGAGTCACTGGAACTTACAAAATACATCAATCAGAAAATTCGGAATCAGAAAGCCGCCCCAGGAACAGCACAATTTCATAGTTCCTCGCACTCCCAAATACCTCTTTGAAGCCACATCATGAACCTTTTGAGGTCTTATATCCTGCGAGGTGATTTAAGACCCCAAAAGCTTAAACATACAGGGTTCAGTGATTTCTTGAGTGGTTGGTGCCAACACTGATAATAATCAACGATTGCGTGATAACTTCTTACTTTAGTTGTGCTCCTTTCAATAAATCATCCGACCATAACGAATTTTTCTCAGAATTTTCGTAGACCCGATTATACTAGTGCTTAGTTTAGGAGTCGTACTAGGTCAGGAGATGGTTCTGATCTAAATTAATGGTAGGATTGACTTGTAAATGTGTTATAAAGTATAAAAAGTCATAAAAACCTTTCCTGCCAGCATTTGGGCGGTCTTTCAACTAGACGATTGGTTCTTGGTGTTTGTGTTTTTGCCCATTTCGCAATTCGTGTCGGGTGCATTCTAACAACATGGTCCATTGCCCATATCGCGGTCGCGTCCAGCTCATCACGTCCTGCACTCAAAAATCTCTCATTATGTTAACATTTCGTACTCTGTCTCGGATTGTAATGCCTTTTATACTTTATAAGTATAAAAAATACTTTCTCATTTCAAAGTATTTATTATAACTTTTATCTGTGATGTTTAGTCTCAACCAGATTTTCTCGCGCCTTATTTTCCTGATTCCTCACTTCATGCATCAGCCGTTAATTCAAAGCTAATTTGCATCTGATGAGGTCTTTAGTAAAAAAAACCATGTTGTTTCCATATTAAACTGTTTGGCTATTATTGTAAATTCTCCGATGTATGTTTGGCATCGAATTTGCTGTTTCGTTTTACCCACTCTGAAAAAAAAATATATATATCAACGTCACCATGGTTCCGGAAAATAAAATAAAATTAGTATTATTTTGACAAAAACATCGCCACACAAATTGTCCACTTTCCATCTCTAAAACTTTTCAAATTTTTTTTCCATTACCATATCTAAATTTACAAGTGAATAATGTCTCTGTGCGTACAATTTCGATATACCGTGAGAAGCGCGCAAGATATAATAATTTTGAAGCGTTTAATGTGCATCCATTTCGAGCGAATCAAACCGGAACTACAATGCGAGTTGAGAAGAATCGCGGAAGATATCGTCGCCCCTGGAAAAGGAATTTTGGCTGCGGATGAATCAGTAAAAAATAATGTCTAATTTTTTTTTTAATTGTCATTAAAATGTGTCATCAAATTGTAGGTAAGCACAATGGGGAGCAGGTTAAAGAACATCGGCGTTGAGAATAACGACAATAACCGAAGAAAATATCGACAGCTGTTGTTTACGACCGATAAAGAAATTACAAATTACATTTCCGGTTGTATTTTATTCGACGAGACAGTTTGTCAAAAAGCTGACGACGGAACGAGATTTATAGAGTTATTGAGGCAAAGAAATATCATTCCTGGTATTAAAGTCGACACCGGAGTCGTTAATTTAATGAGTTCATTAAAAGAAGGGACAACTCAAGGTAAAAAAAAAATTTTAAAATTAACAAAGTCATATTATAAAACAAAATTTATTAATTTTAGGTTTGGACGGCATGGATAAACGTTGCGCAAATTACAAAAAGGAAGGTTGTCATTTTGCAAAGTGGCGATGCGTTTTAAAAATTACCCAATACACCCCATCGTATCAAGCGATTTTGGAGAACGCCAACGTCCTAGCCAGATACGCTTCAATTTGCCAATCGAATGGTTTAGTTCCAATCGTTGAACCGGAAATCCTTCCGGATGGCGAGCACGACATCGAAAAATGCATGAAAGTCACCGAAAGAGTGTTGGCCTTCGTCTACAAAGCTTTAAGCGACCACCACATCTACTTGGAGGGAACATTATTAAAACCAAACATGGTAACATCCGGAATGCAAAACAAAAATCGTGCTTGTACCGAAGAAATTGCTGAACGTACTGTAACCGCGTTACAAAGAGCCGTTCCTCCAGCAGTTCCCGGAGTAACATTTTTATCGGGAGGTCAATCCGAAGAAGAAGCAACCGTTAATTTAAATTCTATCAATGCTTATTGCGCGAAAAAGCCGTGGGCTTTAACGTTCAGTTATGGCAGAGCTTTACAGGCAACCGTTTTAAAAACTTGGGGCGGGAAAGATGAGAATGTCGAAGCTGCACAATGCATGTTATTGAAGAGGGCTAAAGCTAATAGCGATGCTTCTTTAGGAAAATACGATGGCTTTATGGGCAAAGAAGGTTCAGGAGGTGCAAGTCTCTTTATTGCTGATCATAAATATTGATCGTTATTAATAATCTAAATAACATGTTTGTAAAAGGTGAAATTGATTCAAATTTTCTAAATATAACGCTTTAATAAACTATAATTTGTTCTGATCAATCAATAATGAAGAATCTCAATACATTTCGAGTTCTGTGAATGCTAAAAAATTTTTCTCAAAAACGAATAAAGATACTCAAGTACAGTATTAATCACGTAAAAGTACATACTTTATATATAACTAGTATCTCATGAAGATATCTTAAGAATTCACGCAATAATTCGTAAATCGATAAAAATTCAAATTGACTTCAAACATTTCTATCTCAAAAACGAATAGAGATATTCAAGTGCAGTTTTAATCACGTAAAAGAACAAGCTTTTCTTTATATATAATTAGTATGTGGTGAAGATATCTTAAGAATTCGAGTTTTCACGATTTTTTTAAAATCACGCAATAATTCGTAAATCGATAAAAAATCATATTGGCTTCAAACATTTTTACCTCAAAAACGAATATAGATATTCAAGTACAATTTTAACCACCCCAGAGAACAAGCTTTTCTTTATACATAACTCATATCTCATCAAGATATCTTAAGAATTCGTTTTTTTTTTAATCACGCAAACCGACAAAAAAATTAAATTGATTTCAAACATGTTTATCTCAACAACGAATAGAGATATTCAAGTGCAGTTTTAACCATGTAAGAGAACAAGCTTTTCTTTACATATAACTAGTAGCTCATAAAGATATCTTAAGAATTCGATTTTTCACAATTTTTTTAAATCACGCAATAATTTGTAAATCAACAAAAAAGTTTACTGACTTCAAACATTTATATCTCAAAAACGAAAGAGATATTCAAGTGCAGTTTTAGCCATGTAAGAGAACAAGCTTTTCTTTATATATAACTACAATTTCATGAAGATATCTTACGAGTTCGAGTTTTCACGATTTTTTTAAAATTACGCAGTTATTCGTAAATCGACAATAATTCGTATTGACTTCAAACAATTTTATTTCAAAAACGAATAGAGTTGCTCAAGTGTAGTTTTAACCACGTAAGAGAACAAGCTTTTCTTTATATGTAACTAAGTAGCAGCTTATAATGATATCTTAAGAATTCGATTTTTCACGATTGTTTTAAAACCTTGCAAAACTTCATAAATCGACAAACATTCACATTGACTTCAAACATTTTTATCTCAAAAACGAATAAAGATATTCAAGTACAGTTTCAACCACGTAAAAATACATACTTGAACAAGCTTTTCTTTACATAACACTAGTAGTTCATGAAGATATCTTAAGAATTCGAGTTTTCGCGATTCGTAAATCGACTTTAAATATTTCTATCTCAAAAACGAATAGAGATATTCAAGTACGGTTTTGTTCATGTAAAAGTGCATGTTTTTCTTTATATATTTATACCTAGCTAGTATTTCTAGCATACAATACTCACTAATAAAGAAATGAAATTTGTATGGTTTTACCAAACTGTATTTTATTACATTTTAAACAATCTTGATTGGTTCTTAAACGAAACTTATTAAATACAATAAATGTTTATTAACATAACCTTAAAATAAAATGAACTTAAGCTTTTACAGGTGCATATTGCATACAAATCCTTTCAAATTCCCGCTCCTTTCCCTCCAAATCTTTCAAAAAGGGATGCTCTGCATGGCTATCTTTCAATTGGGCCAAGTACCTCTTAGCCCCATCAGTTTTAGACATATGTTGAGACAAAACAACCATATTCACCAAAGTATCAGGATAATTTGGGTCTTTATCCAAAGCCTCCATCAAAGCAGCCTCAGCCTCTTCAAATTTCCCTTGGGCAATATAAGTAACAGCTTGCCCATTAAGCAATAAAGGCGTTGACCCATACTTATCAATCAAATCTTGATAAATATAATAAGCATTTCGCAAATCATCTTTCCCCGCAGCGCAATGTACCCAAGATTGCGCCAACTGAGTTAAAGTTGCATCATCATCTTTTTCTTTCATCTCAGTTAATTTTGAATTGGCTAAATCTAAGCGATTAATTTTTAATAATATATCAATAATCATTGCAAAAGCTTCTAAGTTATCAATTGTGTGTAAAAGTCGATAAGCGGCTTCTAAATTATTTTCTCGCTGATAAATCGTCGCTGCTACCAAAATCAACATTTCATCTTCTATATTCGCATTAGCACTCAATTTTTCATCTAATTGGGTTACAATCGTGTCTCTTTTTGATTTGTTCGACATGTATTCAGCTAATAATTTAATCGATTGTAATTTTGGGTTGGAAGATGGTTTGATTTCATCTAAGACGACCAAAAATTTATTTTGGGCGATAAAAGAGCGGTACATGAAGATTAATTTTTCTACGGCCACTTCTGGAGTTGAAGTCTGGTGATGTTAAGATTAGTATTTAGCAAATAATTTAAATTTTTTAAATACCTTTCGTAATTCTTGGGCTTCTTTTATGCATTGTTGGTAATTTCCGATGTAAAAGAAGTTTTTAATTTCGAATAATTCATCTACGTCTTGCTGCTGACGTGCCATCTTGTCACTTTGACAGAACTAAACATAACCTATATTCGTTTTTTGATGTTTATTTGGATGAATTATTTAATTTTATTATTTTAAAGGGAAAATTGTTTTTATTCGATAAATTTTTGATTTAACTTTGTTTGTTTATGTTTATTAATGAATTAAATGTTTAATTTGGAATTTTTAATAATAAATTTTTGTCAATAGAACACTGCTAAATTTATATGTGTCTAACAAATAAAATTATTAATTTAAAAATTAAGTTCTAATTAACGTTAAATTTTTTTAGTTTGAAATAGTGTCTTGAAATATTAACAAATTAAGTTAAATTAAATATTTTCGAAATCAATTTTTATTATTAATTTTTATTTCGATTATTTTTCGTGAGATGTCGCTTTGTTTCAAAGATTTCTTTCGGTGTTTCAATTTGACAAGTTCAAAAAAATCCGAGAAAATTTCCAGAATATCTCTAAATCAAAACCATTCTTGAATATGTACATTACGGCTCGCGTTGTTACAACGCGCCTCTTACAGCGGGGTTACCTGGGGCCGCGAGTTCGAGCGTCTAACCCAACTTTTTGCATAACCTCACTTTCCAGAAATCTCCAAACCAGAAGTCTCATAAAAACCTCCAGAGGATCTCAAGTTATTAATCGAGGAAATGGGAATTTATTCGATAAAAAGATAATATTAAGAGCGAGCGTTGTGGGTTGTAGGGGGTTTGTTTCAAAAAGTGGAGACGATGATCATCATGGTGAAGATCAACCTTATAATTCGCATTTACCAGCTACGGTGGCAGTACCGGAAGTGTGGCCCCACGTTCCTGTTATTGCAATTAATAGAAACATTGTATTCCCTCGATTTCTTAAACTAATTGAGGTAAAATTTTTTTTTTGAGGTTATGTTGTCATAACCTCAAATGTCAAAAAAAAGTTTGCACCAATTTTAATTAATTTAGGTAACAAATAAGCAACTAATTGATTTATTGAGACGAAAAGTGAAATTAAACCAGCCATATTGTGGAATTTTCCTTAAAAAAAACGAAGAAAACGAATCGGAAATCGTAAATAACATCGATGAAGTTTACGCCGTTGGGGTTTTCGCCCAAATCCACGAAATGCAAGATTTAGGGGAACGATTACGTCTGGTTGTGATGGCGCACCGAAGGATTAAAATCACGGGACAAATCATCGACTCAGAAGAAGAGGTTACCAAGGGTACGTTAAAATTTCTTTTTCTTAAATCTTAAAAGTCAAAAACTCTGCCCCTGCAGTAGTTAAACTTAAATTTCCAATTTTTAACACGTCAATAAACGTCTTTGTAGAAGAAAGCGACGCAGAGAAGAGACGTAGAAAACTTAGGAACGCCCAACGTGCCAAAAAACCGGACGCGAAAATTGAAACTAAAACTGAAACCAAACCGGATCCGAAAACTGCAACAAAAACTGAAACCAAAACGGAATCGAAAACAGCAGAAGCAACTTCGAAAGAAAAATCAAAAGAAACTCCGAAAGAACCTGGGAAAGAACCTTTATTGATGGTTGAAGTTGAAAATGTTGTTCATAATAAATTTAGGCAAACTGAGGAAGTGAAAGCATTAACTCAAGAAGTTATTAAAACGATTCGGGATATAATTAGTTTGAATCCTTTGTACAGAGATAGTTTGCAACAAATGATGCATCAAGGACAGAGGGTTGTTGATAATCCAGTTTATTTGAGTGATTTGGGGGCTGCTTTAACTGCTGCAGAAGCTAAGGAGTTACAGGAAGTTTTAGAAGAGATGGATGTAAGTAAATTGTTTTTGTTTATTAGTTTGTATTTCAATTTTCTAATACAATCAGGTTTTATTAAGTGTTAGAAGTCAAAAAGGGAAGTTTAAATTCAAAATTAATTAAGATTAAGAATTAATTTGATATGTTAGTCATTATCAATTGACAGAAAATTAAATTAAAAGTAATTTCAGTTAATAAAGGTAACATCTGTATTAATAAAAGTAACACCTTAAAAAAAGATATCTTAATTCTTGAATTTACAAATCTTAGCGGTATGCTTTGAATTATTATCTTGTTGAAATATTCATTAAAAACAGACACAACATTTTTTATTTTTTATACAGGTGTCTCATGTAACTGGTTCGCCAGACCTTTTTTGAAATGATCAATATTGATTGTGTAATCCATTTTACCAGTATTATATTAAATGTAAACGAAGAAAAATATAAATTAATTGAATTTTGTACTTCTTTACTGGTTTATTTTTAAATTCGGCTTGACATGTTTCGACTTACATACGTCATCCTCAGAAGCGTCGTTAATTCAAAAACCATAGTTTAAAAAACGCACATGCACTATAAATATTTGAAGAATTTCAAATATTTTGCATTTACTTGTAACGTCCGTTCGTTTTATTTTTTTACCTCAAATTTTAATGTGTTAATATTTTACACTTTAATCATTTTTATACAAAATTAAAATTTATAATGTATATTCGTTAATAATTTGTGACAGGAAATATTGGAAATTCTTCAAATGTTGATAGTGCACGTGCGTTTTTTAAATTATGGTTTTTGAATTAACAGTAAAAAAGTACAAAATTCCATTAATTTATATTTTTCTTCGTTTACAAGAACTTTCTAGGTTCCACTATTGGTACAGTTTTGAAATTTTGATATTGTTCATTCGAAACTTTCCATTTAAAATATTTTCAAGATAGCTACCACTTCCGGTCTACTGGAAGTAGACCATAACTTAGTTATTTTAAATGGAATGCTATAGTTTTTACTACACCTTTTAATTGTACATAAAAAATATGTTGACTTTCATAAAAGTTATTGATACCTACTATCTGTGCAAAAAGTCAAGGCCCCTCACTTTAGAGATCGATATCTTCGTAACCGCTCGATAACAAAAATTGCGACAAAGTTTGCTGTAATCACTGAACATTTCTACGTAACATATGTTAATTTGAAAATTTTCGGATTCACGGTTTTCTTTTTATAGCGAGTTAAATGAAAAACGTACCCGATTTTTGAGAGTGCCAGCAACTTTGTCAACTTTGCGACTTTTTTTCTCGAAAACTATCGTACGAAAAAATTTGAATTTTGAACAGGTGGTAGCCTGATGTGTTCTTAATGAGTGGCATATTTTATTTTTTCGATATTCCATACAGTTTCGCGGAAAATCGCAGTTTAGTAAGACGCCGTTATGTCGAAAACGGTTGGGTGGATTTCCTCGAGGATTTGACCAAAATATGTCAAATAATGTCGATTGTCGGATTCCGTTACCAGTTTTTCAAAATTAGAGCTCCCTAATTTTTTAAGAGCGATTTAATGGAATTACAAATTAAAGAGAAACAGAAATAAGGTCTGCGAGGTGACGGGGTTTCTGTCCAATCGGAACAGATGGTGCGTTCCAGACAGGACGTCGCGCCTTATTTCTTTACGTAGATAAGATAAAGGCGCGACGTACTGTCCCATATTTTATTAGCCTACCCGAAAGGGAATTTAATTCTCTACAATTTATCTATAAACATTCCCACACCTATTTATTGTAGTTTATCTCATATTGGGAAATTTATTAAAACATGCAGAATATCCAGGAAATCGTTTGTATTTTTATTAGAAGACCATGATATTTTGATAGTTTTTCATTTAATTTATTTCTATTATCATTTCTACTATTACCTACGATTAATAATCTTTTAGATTTCTAGTTTTTACTTACCAAAAATTATAGAATAGAATAAACTTTATTTTGCCAATGCCAGGGCTTACACTCGTCATATACAAAAATCAGTACACTAACTATAAACTTAAATTACATAGTAACACTGCTACTTAGATATTCATCGACTGAGTAGAACGCATTTCGTAGCAAAAACTCACATCTAAAAATTAATTTTTCTGGAGTGTTCTAATTTCCAAGGGCAATTTATTATACAGGATGTCTCACCGTTCATTAGACGTTTCTGGGGTTCTACGCACTACGAAAAGACGCCTTATAGTGTTAGTTCTAATTTTAGTGCAATAAAAATATGCAACATAGTGATATCTTATGCTAACTAGCGCTATCTATCGCTGTCGTTTGTAAAATGGATAAGATGAGAGATGTTAATCTATTTGTAGAGTCTTTGAAGATGGCCAAGGGCCGAAACTAGTTAGACTTAAATTCTATATAAAATAAAAAACAGTTAAAAAGTACAAAATCAAACTCTAGATTATTTTCTTCAAACATTTTTACACGAATCGTCATCATTCTGTCTTTAGTTTTAATGATTAAATTTATGCCACGACTTACAGAAACACCTGTATAATCGTAAAACGTAACGAGTGACCAAGCGGCATTCTTTTAACGGCCCTCATTCCCGTGTCATCCCTAGTAGTCAAAGAAGTGACTTTTTTTGTTTTAGCTTTTTAATTCTGGGCAATTCTTTCATGTTTGTTAAGGCCATTCCAGCAATGACGTTTAAGTTTGGTTAGTATTTGGAAGATGTTCTTACAAGTGCTTAGAAGTGGGCGAAATTCTCAATAAGGGTATATAGTCGGAAAGATGTGACCATAGACGAAAGTCTAACATTATACACAGGACGTTTAGGGTAGATACAGTACATTCCACTCAAAAGATCACCTTAGGATATATATGGCCCACAATTATTTATAGAGGAAAAAACACTCTTTTTACTGCCTGACAATAGACAATTTTTTTTTGCCTGAGAAGGTTGGTTGTGGATATACCAAAGCCTACAGAAATGGCTTAGGGTGCGTTTACATTGGACCTGCGATAAAGGATACTAGCAAAATAACGAAATTGTTGTCATGGTATAAAGTGAATTGGCTAAACAATGCCTAATTTATGTTTAACAGTTAGACATCTTATTCTACCGCACCAAACTGTAAGCTGCATGGCTTTGTGCTGTTTGCTGCTCCAAAGTAGATGAAAGAGGGTAAAATTACCAAACAAAAAACACATACTCCAGCATGTCACCCGCCTGCATGCGGTAGATCTCTTTTATACTTATAGCGGAGAATCTATGATTTTGTTTGATTAGTACGTGATCGTTTGAATTGAGATGTTGAAGTTAATACCATATCCATACAAAGCTAGTTAACACATGTTGCAATCCTCGGCCACAAACGACCTCGGCTAAGTTCAGAACAGAAAATGTATTAATCGACTTGCCTAGTCTGCAAATACAGGGCCATACAATAAACCTTTCTGTTCTTCATAAAATGAACTTTCCATCGCCAACTTTCTTTCAGAGCTTCCATATTATTAGCGGCCATATTGAATGACACCGATTACTGTATGAGAGAATCGCGTTCTGATTTTTTTTTTAATACTCGAAATCAGGTTTTAATATATCATGGAGGAAGCTGTGTTTTGGTGGTTCGATACAGAAATGACAAAAGAAGATATTTCTTCTTCCGCATGATATTTCTTCATTCTTCATCATATTTCTTCATTCTTCATCATATTTCTTCATTCTTCCGCATATTTCTTCCACCCAAAATTTGTTGGGCAACTGACGTGTTTTGCAAGACGTAAACAAGTTTCGCCATTTTTTTTTCTCATCAGTTACCTAAATATCCATTTTTGCTTTTATTTGCAAGAAAAGTGAGAGCGCTTAACCGATATCGCCATATTTTAAAAGAAAGCGTCGATGGAATATTCTTTAAATTTTCTGTGTTTTGACAGTATTGAGCAGCGTTTGCGTATCGTTCTGATCTTGCAGTGTTAATGTCAAAAATTTTGCGTTGGGCTATTTAATCCTAGATTCTAGATGTTCATCTTCTTGTGATGGGTTTATCTCCAATGGAGTTGCTTATTGATTTTGAGCATATTCCTTTAGCTCATTCTTTCTTTTATAACCTTCTCCACTATGCGTCAGAACGCTTGCCTTTTTTCTGTTTCGCTGTTTACATTCTCCCAGTGGCCAAGCCTCTTTATTGTTCCAAGCCAGTAGTATTTAGTCGTCTACCAACAGAATATAGTCTTCAATCAGCAGTCTCCAGTATTTATAGCAGCATACACTCTTCTTCCAGTATTATCTAGTCTTCAAGTATCGCTATATAGTCTTCAACTAGCAATATTTAGTATTTCCATCAATACATAATCTTCTGCCAATAGTATTTAACCTTCTCCCACTTGTATGCACACTGTAACCAGTAGTGTATAGTATTTCTAGTGGCATACAGCCTTCTATCAGCAGTATTTAATCTTCTACCACCAACATTTAGTCTTTTGTCAACAGTATCTAGTTTTAAATCAGCACTCTCCAGTATTTCCAGCAACATACAGTCTTCTTCCAGTATTAATGTCAAAAATGTTGTAAAAGTAATTCGTATTGTATTAGAAAATTGAAAAAATATGTAATAATATCGATTGTTTGTTCTAATAATTTTAATTTTCATTGTAGATCCCCAAACGTTTAATGCTTTCCTTATCTTTATTAAAAAAAGAGTATGAATTATCGAAATTACAACAAAAAATTGGAAGAGAAGTTGAAGAAAAAGTTAAACAGCATCACCGAAAATACATTTTAATGGAACAATTAAAAGTACTTTGACCATAACAAAGAAAATATTTCGATTAATCGTTTTTCCTTTAGGTTATTAAAAAAGAATTAGGCCTCGAAAAAGAAGATAAAGACGCGATCGGTGAAAAATTCAGGGAAAGAATCAAAGAAAAAATTCTTCCTGCGGCAGTCTCCAGCGTGATCGAAGAGGAACTTTCAAAATTAAGTTTTTTGGAAAATCACAGTTCCGAATTTAAGTAAATAATAAGTAAACATGTAAACGTTCTTAACTTATTTTTGTTTATTTTAGTGTTACAAGAAATTATTTAGATTGGTTAACCTCTTTACCATGGGGAGTTCAAAGCGAAGAAAATTTAAATTTACAAAGAGCCACAGAAATTTTAGATCAAGATCATTATGGAATGGATGATATTAAAAGAAGAATTTTAGAGTTTATCGCCGTTAGCCAATTGAAAGGGAGTACTCAAGGAAAGATTTTGTGCTTTCATGGACCACCTGGTGTTGGAAAAACGAGTATTGGTGCGAATTCCTTTTTTAAAACTTTATCTTAGTGTTTTAACTTGGTGATTATTTTAGCTCGTTCGATTGCAAGGGCATTAAACCGCGAATATTTCCGATTTTCCGTTGGTGGGATGACCGATGTCGCTGAAATAAAAGGTCATAGAAGAACTTATGTTGGTGCAATGCCTGGAAAAGTAATTCAATGCCTCAAAAAAACAAAAACAGAAAATCCGTTAGTTCTTATTGATGAAGTGGATAAAATCGGAAAGTAATTTTAATTAAAACATTTTTGATTTAAAATAACATTTTTGTTTTAAGAGGATTCACTGGAGATCCAAGCTCAGCTCTCCTCGAGCTTTTAGACCCCGAACAAAACGCTAATTTCTTGGATCACTACTTAGACGTCCCGGTTGATTTATCAAAAATTCTTTTTATTTGCACCGCGAATGTTGTTGACACGATCCCAGAACCACTCCGCGATCGAATGGAGATGATCGATATGTCTGGTTATGTAGCAGAGGAGAAATTGGCGATTGCCAAACAGTATTTGTTACCTCAAGCCATGCGAGATAGTGGATTAAAAAGCGAAAATATTAAGCTTGAAGATGATACTCTACAATTATTGATTAAAAGTTATTGTCGCGAATCCGGTGTTAGAAACCTACAGAAACAAATTGAAAAGGTTATTTTAATTAAAATTAATTAATTTATTTTTTAATTTAATTAATTTAGGTGGTAAGAAAAGTCGCCTATAAAGTGGTTAAAGAAGAAACGAATTTCGTAGACGTAACAGCGCAGAATTTACAAAAATTCGTGGGGAAACCAATGTTCACCAGCGATAGGATGTACCCAACAACCCCTCCAGGGGTGGTTATGGGGTTGGCATGGACCGCGATGGGGGGTTCAACGTTATTTATTGAATCCACAATCAGAAAGCCAATGACGGAAAAAGAAACTGATGGCACTTTAGAATTAACAGGTCATTTAGGTCAAGTTATGAAAGAATCTGCGAAAATTGCTTTGACAGTGGCGAGAAATTTTATGACCAAATTAGATAAAAATAACAATTTCTTAAATAAAAGGTAAAAATCTCAAAAGTGTCAAAATCTCACCCATTTTGTTGCAATTTGGTACAGCAATAAGTTTACGTATTTTTTTATATTAATAAAGCTTCTGGGACGAGTTATGTGGGTTGGGAGTGGGGAAAAAAGTAGCTTGAAAACGAAAACTGTATTTAGAAATATCTTTGACGACATAATGAACCATAGATTTCTTCTTTTCAAATTTGGTAAGGAGGAAATCCCCAATATTTGAATTTTTGCAGATGCGGCAATATCCAATTGATTACCTAAAGGGTCTGCTTGTGTCTCGTTTCTGCCACAACTATTTTTGCCATTACCAGTCTTCTTACAGTCTTACTCTCTTCTGCCTTGTCTCTTTATAGCCATGAGAATCTCTTTTCATTGTTTCTCTTTTCTGCTCAGTCTCTACATTTTATTTCCAGTCTCTTTCCAAGCATCCTTCTTTTTGCCTAGCCTCATTCTTCTCTTTTCAGTATATTTTTGCCATTACTAGTCTTCTTACACTACCAGTCTTCATCAGTAACTTTGTTATTGTGACACCACAAAATTTACTTCTTGGCTATTTTCTTTAAATTCTTCTTGGTAACTCCCACTGAAAATTTTTATAGGTGCAAAATCATCGTGCCCAAATGCAAGTCTATTGAATGGCCAACTTCCTAGCGTTAAAAAGCCGCTTGTGATATTTTTGGGTGTAAAAGATTCCAAGAAGTCATATTTTGAAAGTTCAGCCAAAACTTTAATAATAATGTTTATTGCATCAAAAACAAATATTTACATAAATATATACATTCATAACAAATAGAGACATCAAGACAAACGGATCAATTTATCGCAATAAGCAATATCTTCCAAGAGACCCAACTAGTGACAGTGTAATCTTAAATAAATAATTATGGCTACCAAAAAAGTAATACTAAATGATGTGCTAATAAAACTGAGCGAATGAGCATAGACACAAAAAAGTGCAGCAAAAGATAAATCAAAGGCAGAATAGAGAAGAAAACAAACACGTATAGGTCAAGAAAAAAATAGTTGAAGAGATACCAGATGGCGCCTCAAGGCAATTTTAAAACTTATTAAACTAGCTGCATTGCGAACAACGGCAGGCAAATCGTTCCACAACGTAATCGACTACACTGTAAAAGATCTGTGGTAGATTTCAGTACTATGGACTGGAAACATGAGTGTAGAGTCCGACATTGATCGGGTGGGCAAGTCATGTGATGCTAAGAAGTGAAATGCATCAGACAAATAAGCAGGAGTGCGGGTATAGACAATTTTGTTATGTTATACAAAATAAGCATACGAAATAATCTACGACTCTGGCAAGTCATCATCTGCAGGTTGTTACGATATAGAGTAATGTGCTGAAATTTTCCTAAATCAAAAATGTACCGTATACAATTGTTCAGAAGTCTTTCCAATTTACCCCGATCGGGATACGCAGCATCGGCATAATCAGTGTGTGAGAAAATGAGAGAATAACAAAGATTACGACGTACAACAGAAGGAAGGTAGCAGCGAAGTTTTTTCAAAGTATGGAAACAGAAGTAAACCCTCTTACAGACTCCATGAACTTGTGGCCGCCAAGACATCACCGAAACCATTACCACACCAAGATTTTTGACCGTATTAGAAAACTGAATAACGGTGTCGCCAAGCCTCAGTTGAACGGTAGTTAAGGAATTAAATTGTGCCAGCAAGGAGCAAGTGCCAAATGCAATGGCTTGCGTTTTACCTGGATTCAGGTTAAGTCCATGACGTCTAGACCAATCAAGTACGCTAGAGAGATCGTTGTTAAGATGCAACAAAGCATCTGGGAGGTTGTTAACAGTTGACGAAATATAAAGTTGAAGATCATCTGCATACAAATGATAGTTACACGAGATACCATAACTAATACTATTTATGAAAATTGAGAAGAGCAAAGGACCTAGCACACTGCCTTGGGGAACTCCACATTTGATGTCAACAGGAGATGAGAGTACAGGAACCAAGATACACAAAAAGAGATAAAACCAATTGCAGCGCCTAGTTAACAGGAACGCAACTTTAGGCGTTGGTCCGTGTTCATGTTCAAATTTATTATACAGTCAGTTATGAATTTTTGATGTAACATCATAATTGTCAAAAAACTCAGCCACTAGGGTTTTATTAAATGCAAAGCTTTTTGCTGCACTTGTATTTTCAGGCTTTCTTAGGCTGAGCTGCTGATTCCTGTTTTTAAAAATCTTGCTGCACAATCTTTTCCGGCACGTTTATTTTTTTTTCCAAGATTCTGGATGTTTGTATCCCAAATATTCTGAGTACTAATAAGCCAATGTCAAATCTTGCTACAAGGATAACCCATAATGCACCTTTTGTCTCCCTTTACGCTTGGCTAATGCGAATCTCGTTATGACTGTGCGCTTGCATTTCTTCTTATTTACAAATTTTCACATCCATAAGCTTCAAAATTGGAATAAATACGTTGTTGAAGATTATCACTGCAAAAAAAGTTGCAATTTTTTGTTCTCGCCACACAACGTAAATGGTTCAGAGCGAAATTCCAAATTAGCGCGTTCAATGATTCAACCCAAGCAACGTTCGAGTAATTTATCTAAAACCTCTAAATTCAGTGGAGGATTCCGGACAGTTTTTATTTTATTGCGTTTCATCAGTGGAACTTGTGTGGTAGTACGCTGGTAAAATAACTTCCTTCATATCATCCACAAATTCGGCATGTTTTCGGATAGCCAAGCCGTATTACTTCCGCTTTGGTTAATTACGTAGTTTTCTTGGTTTTCTTCATACCATTCATTGCGGACATCAACATATTCATTTTTCTTTTTGTTCCTTATATTACATGCTTGAAAGAAACTCTTTATTGTACTATCAATAATTTTTGTCTTTTCCATGTAGCATCACCAGACACTGTTAGATGATTTCCAGTAAACTCCAATTGACAATTTAAAATTTTTTCCTCTTCTACAACACCTTTCAAAGTGGCATCATAAACGAACTGCGCAGCCATATGATATCAAGGCACCTGTAATATGTATCTTTTAGTAAAAAGTCTAATCTTTTAGTTTAGTAAAAACTCCTTGATAAAAGTCCATAAAGCCACAAAATAAGTTTATATCGTCATTTGCAGGCCCAATAAGGTTAGTTGATTTCTTGATCCTTTTTTATCTGTATCTTTAGCTATGTCTCTCCAGAGATGGTTTGTTACTCAAAAAGCAAGCCTCCACGGGATTTTGAAACTGCTCTCCTCTAAATATCCACTTGCAAAACTCGCGTATTTAAAAGCAGTAATATATTGTGGGTAAGATAACTAGTTATAACTTAGGGCAGTCTTTCTTAATCTTCCCATTATCGCAATATCCAGTCGATTGCCTAAAGAGTCTGCTTACTCTCTTCTGCCTTGTCTCTTTATGGCCATGAGAATCTCTTTTCATTGTTTCTCTTCTCTGCCCAGTGTCTTCATTTTGTTTCCAATCTTTTTCTTCTATTGCCAGTTTCTTTCCAAGCATTCTTCTTTTTGCCCAGGGCATTCTTTTCTTTTCAGTATATTTTTGCCATTACTAGTCTTCTTACACTACCAGTATTCATTAGTAACTTCGTAATTTTGACACCACAAAATTTACTTCTTGGTAACTCCCACCCAAAACTTCTACAGATACAAAATCATCGTCCCCAAATACAAGTATATTGAATGGCCAAATTCCTACCTTTAAAAAGCCTATTGTAATATTTTTGGATGTAAAAGATTCCAAGAAGGTATATTTTGAAAGTTTAGCCAAAACATTAGGCGTTGGTAAGACCGTGTTGTTCAAATTTATTATACAGTCAGTTATGAATTTATAACGTAACATTACACGCTCATAATTATCAAAAAACTCAGCTACTAGGGTTTTATGAAATGCTAAATTTTTTGATGCACTGGTATTTTCATGCTTTCTTAGACAGCTTCTGATTCCTATTTCTAAACCTTAAAGCCCAATCTTTTCCGGCACTTTTATTTTTTTCCATGATTGCATGAAGTTGCTGCAAGTATAACCCATAAAGCATCTAGTTACAAGTCAGCAAATATTCTGAGATGACTTTCTCTTGCTGGGCTGTAAATACCTGAGCAACAGTATACTTATTTACTTCCTCAAAGAGACTGCAGAGCAAATACTTTTCGACATGACATGTATAGCATCAGTCGACCCCTATAACCCAGGATAGGAATGGCTTTGATTGGCTTTGAATCACGTTTTGCACAACACGTTATTTTTAATTTCCCCCGTTACTGCCTTTTCCTCCTTCAATTTTACTAACACAATCGTAGTCTTTACCCATAATTCCTCATATGATGTATTAACCATTTTTACGTATTTCCACTTTTTCATTCGCATAATTGACCTTACAATCATCCCCACATACCATCAAAACCTATTTTCATTCCACATATTCAATAGCAATCTCTATATAATCTATATCACATATTCGTACTCCATAGTCTTTCTTAGGAAATACTGAATAACAAGTACCAGGTACTGTTGATATACCATTCCTTGTGGTGTTCGTAGAGAACTAGCAATCCATTATATTGAATCCATTAGCAACATTCAACGCTACATTCACTCGCCCTTTGTTTCCTGTGTCCTTTCCTAAAATTAGATTGACCTTCGCCTAACACACTTTTACTCTCCATAAACTCCAATAACCGTCCCACAATCACCTCAACTAGACAACTACAGCGGACGTTAGTCAAATTGACCTCCTTATATCCTCCTGGAAACACTCCTTCCAAACAATTCTAGCTATTCACTATGTTCTGTATCTCCACCTGTACCTTCGCCACCCAATTCAACTCAATGCAACCTAAGCCATCATAACTGCACATATTTCACGTCGTATATAAATTTTGAAACATATCCTCCATTGTCCCTTCCCTTTCTTCCATCCTCCCCACATCCTCTGTTTTTGCAATAATAGTCTCCTTCTTCTTTTTACTTCCTCTAATCTCGTGATAGTTATATTCGGCATATTTTTGGATAGCCAAGCCGCAGTACTTGGTTGGTTCAACGATAAATTTGTCAATCTTTTTCCCAGTACCTTTATCTTTGCTTGCATCCATTTCTCAATATGACCCATACACCCTTTCAAGACGTCATTTTCATAAGGATCTATATCTAACATACCTTTGAACGTTTTTTGTTTTTGAACTACGTGTTTATATTTTGATCTTAGGTACGTTTCGATCATATATTCCGCTAAAATGAAGAAAAAAAAAACACGTTTACCAGACACTGCAGGATGATTTTCAGTGTACCACGATTGACTATTTAGAATTTTTTCTTCTTCTACAGCACTTTTCATAAACCGACTGCGCAGCCATATGAATGTTATCAAGGCAACTGTAACAATATGTATCTTTAGAAATACGTTGACAAAGGTCCATAAAGCTAAAAAATTAGTTTAATCCTTCATTCGCAGTGCTCAACAAGGTTGCATTGCAACAATAACAGCAATAAATCGTAGAGAAGACAACTGGTTATATGTTAGGGATTGTAATTTGAAAATATTATCTCGTTGATGCAAATTGATATCATAATGGTAGAGGATAAGTTGCTCAGAAAATCTTTTAATAAAGTTTTTCAATATTCTAAAGCCAAATACATCCAGAGGTTGTTCTTGCAGATATAGACAAATGTTTAAACTTAGATTTGATGGATGCTTATTAATAATTTTAGAGCAATGGTCACTCCATGAATCCAGTAATAGATGTGGGCCCGGTGTTTGAAAAATACACATTTAGCCAATTTTTCATATGGGAAAAAGTTAATTTACCAGAATTTGATACCGACACGAATAGGTTCAAATGTGCTAAAGAATTCTTCTTCCTCCTTATTTAAGACTAGATCTTGCTTTTTTTGCTTCATTAGGTGGAGTCCAGCGTTCGTGCCATCTTTTCGTCCGATAGGTCTCCCGAGCTCGGTTTCTCTTCGTCATCCATCTTGGCCACGTGATCTCTCCAACATCTACGCCACGCCCGCACAAATCACACCACATCAAGTATCCTCAGTTCCTCCCGTATTGCTGAACTTCGTATCTGATCTCTCACTCCTTTAATTATGCTTAGCGTTGTCATTTTGGTGGTTCTTAGTATAGTAGCTCTATGTTCTTGGTTTTTGACATATTTGCCCTAGTTATCAATGCAAACGCCGTCTTTACTGCCGTTTTGTAGATGTTGACTTTGCTCTCATTGGACATGTATTTGTTCCTCCATACGATGTCTCTAAGATATCCAGAGATAAAATATCTGGCGCCTTTGTTGACTTGCTCCATAATTTTTTGGTATACATTTTCTGCAGCTAAAGATGTCAATGCCAAGGTATTTACAGTGCAGGCTCTGTCTTTTCAAATTCACTGCCAATTTGCACCTGACCTCTTTCGTTATCACCATTGCTGCGATTTTCTCTTTGGATATCTCCATGTTTAGTCTTTTCGCTGTGGATTTGGAATTTAGTATAGCATTCGCTGCAAGTCGTTCTCGTTTTCCGTCATCAAAAGAGCATCATCTGCGTAACAAGGATTTTTTTCCCCATGTGTATTTGCCTTTGACTTCATTCACGCTTCGGATTATTTTATCCATAATCAGATTGAACAGGAATGGGCTTAAATTTGTCATCCTGTCGGATCGCTACTGTTATAGGTACTTCCTCGTCGTCCTCTATGTCATCAGGTCCTGATGCTTTTTAAGCTTACTCACCATTTCATATACATCCTGGGATATGTCTTCTATAATTAATGTGGAATTTGTGTGCAATACACAAACTTCTCTCACCTCAAAATAAGGCTAACAGCTTGTTTAGTCATCATTGTTCTTCTCAAAAAAATTAACAAACAGGTTATTTAGAACACTCAAACTGGTGAAACCATCAACTCAGAATACAAACTGACAAACCGAACTGAACGGTAATGTTATATAGTGTAGAAGTGAAGGTTGAAATGATGGCTAGGGGACTGAGGCTAGGAGGTTGACCTTCATTTCTATTTGCCGATTGGCGAATCGTCTCCTAGAGCCCAAGGTCAAGGTCACACGAATGACATGACCTTGACGTTGAGGTTCTAGGAGGAGGTACGTCAATCGACAAATACCTACTACTCACTTATTTCCTCGTCTTTAATAATATTCAATATAATTGCAATGAAATCGGTGAAGGACACTTCTGACACATTCCTTGTTAGTTTTAAAATTTTAATTTTCATTCAAACAATTTAATTTAAGCCATCTTCACATTCACGTCCCCGAAGGAGCTACACCAAAAGATGGTCCAAGCGCTGGTTGTACAATTGTAACCGCTTTATTATCATTGGCGCGTAATGAACCGGTTAGACAGGATGTAGCGATGACTGGGGAAGTGTCTTTAATGGGGAAGATACTTCCAGTTGGGGGGATTAAAGAAAAAACGATTGCTGTAACTATTAATTTTGTTTAATTAATTATAAATTTTTGATATTGATTAAATTTTGGTTGTTTTAGGCAAAAAGAGCAGGTGTAAAATGTATAGTACTGCCTGAAGAAAACAAAAAAGATTTCAACGATCTCCCTAAATACATCACTGAAGGTTTAGAAGTACATTTCGTAAGCAATTTTGAACAGGTATACGACATAGTGTTTGCTAAAGGTGCTGGGCCGCGTCCTACTTTTGGTCCAACTGTCACTCCTACAATTCCAACACCAGCACCGACAACGACTACGACTAAAGTAATCTAAATCGGTGTGCAGGTTTGTTTTGTTTTTTTTTAATGTTTTGTTTGTTGGATCGGGAGGAAATAAGAATTGTGTGTGTTCATTATAACAAGAGAACGTTCAATTTTTGTTGTTTCGAACGTTTGAGGATGTTTATAGAGTGTAAATTTTTTGTCCAATGTATAAAGGTGGGTTTATAGAAAGAACTGTTAGATAAATTAATGGATAAAAAGATGATTAAGAGAAGAATAAAAGAGTTTTACTATGTTTTTATTCTTAGATATTTTATACTATGAAGAAAGAAATAAATTGTTTTTTAATAAATTAATTTATTTATTAACTTTATTACCTATTTTCTTCTCCTTTATTTGACTTTTGATTGTTTTTTTATTTAATTCTTTTACTTTTTAGATTCATACGGATTTAATTACGTGAGTAATTCTATTTCAGTTATTGGGATTAAATATTGTTTCAATATTAATGAATTGATTGTTAAAATTTTTACAGATTCTTAACATTTTCATTGTTTTAATGTTTTTATTTTTAATGTAGATGTAAAGAACAATCTCAAAATATAGGAAATGGCTACAATTGCCTTGGTCAGCCATTGCTGCAAGAAGAAGTCTGAAAGTTAACATTGGTAAGATTTTGATAAATTGTCATTAATTATCGGGTCAGATTCTAAATGGCAGAAACCCAGATCTATGTTCAATCTGCAATAAGAAGTCTGAAACTGCATTGGCAGAATTTTGAACTGCAAAGAGAAGTCTGAAATTATTTCGTCATATTCTAAACAGTCTGAAATTATCTGCCATATGTAAGAAAAAGTCAGAAATTACGCTAACAAAATTATGTGCTGCAAGAAGAAGTCTGAAAGTATCTAAAAGCAGGCAAAACTTTGTACCTTTTAAGACTTTATGAAAATGTCTAGAATGACATTGGTAAATCTTTGATGAATTGTCCGGAATTATCCTGTCAGTTATCAATTATTATTATCAGTTATCTGACCGGATCTAACGAACTGAAGGTTCGTGAAAAACAACACAAATGATCAACAAAATTTTTACTTTTTCAAAAATAGAACACTGACCGTGAAAGACTTCCTACTTATACATATATACTTACTGCCTAGAGTTTATCCATTGGTATCTTCTAGTTTTGTTGCTGTTGCACACATTGCTGTTACTCAAGATTAACATTACTCAAGATCACATGGTAACATAATTTGGCAACATAATCTAATACTTTCTGAAAAACAATGTAAGCTTCAAAACTGAAGCTTACATTGTTTTAAGTGTTGCTAACATGTTTTAAAGCTGAAAATAATTACTTCCAAAACGAGGTTTGATTCGATATGCCAACAGATTATTATTAATTATTACCTTCTTAGAGTGAAGCTTTAATTATTGTAATTTATGAAGAGGCAGTATGATAAACTGGACCAGTACGAATTATCTTGAGCATTCGTCTAATAAAAACGTAAACGGGAGAGTACAAAGTGAGATAGTGTGGTGGTAAAGTTACTCGACTATCTTCTGCCACCGATGTCTACACTATTCTATCGCCAATGAAAATGTTTTGATGAAAACAGGTTTTGGTGTGGTCCTAATAAGAGACACTCTCATCACTGCATCATTAATCATTTCTCTAAGTTCTTGTAATGTGTTTGGCAGTAAGGGCACGTAAACAAAATCCTTAATAAATGTCATTCAGGCATCTGAACTTGCGCGTACTCCAATGAGGAAGTGCCAAAGGCAGCCAAAAAAAAACTTGGAGAATTTGCGATTATTTTGATATATCATTCATGTCTGTAGGTGGAATAGTTATAAATATAGAGCGTTTTAAATACTACTGAATCCAGTAATCGAGGAAGTGAAGTTTTCGAGGTTTTAAGTAGTGTGTAAGTAGTTTCTTGAAGTTATGTGTGAGACGCACAATATAATTTTGTTATGTTTTATCTATTTCATTATATAGTACTATCCTTACCCTTCAAAATGAGCTCTCATATCGTGCTGTACGAGTTTCTTTTTATTATAAGTTATGGCCATTTTAAAATGACGTAATGAATTGGAACCCAGCATATGGATCAGTACCTACTGTCAGATGCGGGGGACACACTCCCAATTTTGTATTGTGTTTTACTTTTATGGAATCTCTTTTGCTGTTGAGCATGTGACTCATCACGTTGAAGTGATCAGCAATAGTCAGCTAGCATAGATTTGGTTTGACAGCAACTAGCACCTACGTAGCATACTGTGTTTAATGTTCGACTTCAACGTATAATCAAAAAAGCCAGTTTGCTTGTAGGTAACCTCAGATATCTCAAAATCCTGACATGATGGAATGGCATGGTTCACTAACCGTCAACGTTTGCAAACGACCGCCATTTTAATCGATTAACTCAGTTCTTAACTAATAGAAATAGGCCGTTCAACAAAACGTTATTGCAACCCTAAACCATTTGCGTGTATCACAGTTTACGGCATTCCCTGATGAACGCGCCCATTATTCGCATTGCGTTATTTTGCTTGTCAGTGTATCTTCTGTACATACAGTATCTTCTGTATGTAGTGAGATTTTGAGTAGACTCGAGAAAGGTGAAAGTGGATCGTTTCGGATATCAAAAAGAAAATAGACTTCATTTTGAATTTTGCATCAAAGTTACATTTATATGATTTTTTCTTCATGATAGATGCAAACGAAGGAAAACAAGTAGGAGTGCAAAAGACAAGTCGGTACAAGACGTCGTGTGTTTGTGGATTACCCAAAAGCGTAGTTTAGGCTATTCAAGGGCAGGATTCATCTTCAGACAGTTTTCCGCAAATCTTTCAAGATCAAATTATTAAATTTTGTATGTAATAGTGGCTTTGCTAGAGAAGATGTTTACAAATGTGACGAAACTAGGTTAAATTGGAAAGTTCTGCCTAAATTATGCTAAATCTGATGCTGCGGAATGGTTGAATATGGCCAAGATTGATCTGGGTGTGAAATTTTCGATGACAATGTTATTATAACCTCAGTTAAAGAGTCTGGAGATCAAGACAGCAGTGAAAGTGAAGAGGATCTTGCAAACTGCCATGACTCCCCATCGCATGCTAAAGCGTCGACGACGTTGGAGACAGCTATGATCCCAATTGATTTGGATTTTTGACTTTCTATTTGTCTATATTGCCACTGCACAGCTCCTTCCTTGCTGAAGTAGTTCCTCAAATGTTTGCGAAGTTTTGGTTGCAACCCCAAGTGGCTAAGAATCGACTGGTAATGTATAATTAGTTGGCGGTGATATATGCTATCAGTTGTGAAGAGCACATAATAATGCTTTCTTGACTGTGCAGGAAATCTGCTGATCAAAATTCCGAAGACAATTATCATAATTCCTCGCTCGAGTAAGGCGATACTTGAAAACTTTTTCTTGGATGATACGATGTGCCCTGTAATTCTTACATGGTTTTAAAATGTATGGTTTCATTGAAACCGCGTCATCACCGTAACATCCATCAGAAATATGGTCATTTTCCTGAAGTGTTTTTAAACAATTTTGAAAAATACCGCTATCAGATTCTGACCTTTCTGCTAACATTAAAATATGCAAAGCAATAGTTGGCGTCAACAACTTCCATCAGAACTATGCTGTTTGAAACCATTAAAATATTATTGCCGTCAATATAACCAAACTCCACCAATCTTTAAGTCCAATACATTGGTTTTTCCATCGTTTTTGTGATGTTGGTAAAACAGGTAAAGTTTTGGAAAATACTGCTTTATTCTGATTCTTCTGCCAACATTAAAATATGTAAATCAATAGCATAGCAACATAAAATATGCTGTTTGCAACCATTAAAATATCATTGCCATCAATAGTTGCCCAGCAATCGGGAAAGCTCTACCAATCTTTAAGTCCAACACATTGGTTTTTCCATCGTTTTTGTGATGTCAAGTAATTATATCAACTCCAACAAATTCAGTACAAACGCAGCCGATTTTTCAACTTCAAAATGCTACAGTACCAAATTGATAAAATTGGAAATATAATAACAGGAATCTAGAAGACCTACAACCGGATATGAAACAATTACTCATTGTTGATGCTAAAAACGCATGGAAGAAGCAAAAATAGATGAAAATATTGCTTTTGCCAAATACGCGGGTTTGGCATTGGATAAATTACCTTGACAACAATCAATAATGACAAAAAGTGAAAATCAAGCCATTTTAACCAAATTCAGTCTATCATCATATATATCACCCAGCTCATCATACTCATTACTAGAAGGCCTATCTATTTCTTGCAGATTCCATTCAGTCCATTGATTTCATTCAATGAACTTATTTAATGAATGTATTCCCTGAAGCTTTCATAAATAGTATTACATCTACTTGCTTTAGGAACAAAATTAGAACTCGTTGTTTTGGACGCTGAATAAACACAGCACTTATATATAGATATTTGTACCAAGCTTTCTTGAAAAACTTTGTCAATAGCTTATGCGACATCTAAGAAGATTGCCGAGCAGACTTTGGATGTTTACGTCTTTTCTAGGGTGGTGCTTTAGGTGTCTCCTGTGATAAGATCGAATCCTGAAGGTTTCTTTAGATTCAAATTAGTTATTTTATCTGCGACATCTTTAGCAGTAACTAGCATTTCAGGCTGCATTTCGTACATTCTGTTAATCCATAATTATTTACTAATTTAATTGGATAATGGTGCTATCATTATCCCTGATTTCTACTTTGTCAAGCCTTGCATTAATTTGGTCTAATTATGTCTTCATTATGTTCTGCATAATCTGCATCATAGAGTCTCTGGGCATTAGATATCTCAGGCTTTATTATATTATGGTAAATTTGTCGTGCTTTTGGCAGTAATTTTTTTGGACTTAGATCTTTTCGTTTTTGGTCTTATCTCTTAAGGTGAAAATAAATCGCATCGCACTTTAAAAAGAAGAAACGACATTTTGAACTTTACATGAAAGCTACATTTATATGATAGATGCAAATGAAGGAAAACAACAACGACTACAAAAGACAAGTCATTAGAAGATGCCGTGTATTTATGGTTTACCTAAAGGCGCAGTTTAGACAACACGTAATCTTTCAAGATGAAATTGTAAAATTTTATATGCAATCGTGTCTTTTGCTAGAGAAGACGTTTACAACTGTGACGAAACCGGCATAAATTGGAAAGCTCTGCCTGTTGTTAAGTTTGTAAAAAAGAAAAAGAAAAATTAAGCAGATACGCTTGAAAATGTAAAAAGGTGTCAAACTGTGTTATTTAGTTCTTGGTTTTCATGATTGTGATGAATCTGATGCTATGAAATTGTTGAATATGGGCAAAATTAATCTGGGCTATGAAATTCTCGGTGACAACGATATTGTTACCTGAGTTAAAGAGTCTGGAGATGAAAACGGCAGTGATTGTGGAGAGGATCTTGCAGACAACTACCATGACAACTCCTTAAGATGACAAAGCGTCGGATTATTAACTATCTACTATGTGTCTATATTGCCCCTTCCTTGCTGAAGTAGTTCCTCAAACGGTTGCAAAGTTCTGCCACTACCTTGTTGACTTTTTTTAAATTATTTCTCTCCAAACATCTTAGTTTCGCTATCTTTAACCCCTAGTGGCCTGGAACCATTTCACAATCAATTTCCATTATCAATATTTTTTTCATCCTCAGAATCGACTGGCATATAATTTTCTTGACTGTACATGAAATGTGCTGACCAAAATTCCGAGGACAGTTTTTATAATTCTCCTCGCTCGAGTAACGCGATAGTTGAAAACTTTTTCTTGGATGATACGATGTCTTCTATAATTCTTACGTAGTTTTAAAAGGTATGATTTCAATGAAACCGTGTCATCATCACCAACAAGGTAACATCCAATAGGAATATGTTCATTTTCCAAGGCATCCTGAAATGTTCTTGAAAAGTTATGGAAAATACTGCTTTATTCTGATTCTTCTGCCAACATTAAAATATGTAAAGCAATAGCATAGCAACATAAAATATGCTGTTTGCAACCATTAAAATATCATTGCCATCAATAGTTCCCCAGCAATCGGGAAAGCTCTACCAATCTTTAAGTCCAACACATTGGTTTTTCCATCGTTTTTGTGATGTTGGTACGATGAGATTGATGAAGAAGTAATTATATCAACTCCAACAAATTCAGTACAAACGCTGCCGATTCTTCAACCTCAAAATGCTACAGTATCAAATTGATAAAATTGGAAATCCTGGCGCAAAAGAAAAACTAAATATAATAACAAGAATCTAGAAGATCTACATCCGGCTATGAAACAATTACTCACTGTTGATGATAAAAACGCGTGGAAGAAGCAAAAATATATGAAAATATTGCATTTTCCAAATTGGATAAACTTACTTGGCAACAATCAATAATGACAAAAAGTGAAAATCAAGCCATTCAATAAACTTATTCTGAACTCATTCCAGTTGAATGTACTCCCTGAGGCTTTCATAAATAGTATTACATATACTTACTTCAGGAATAAAATCAGAACTCGTTGGTTTGGACACTGAATAAACACAGCGCTTATATACAGACGTGAAAAACTTTGTCAAAAGCTTGTGCGACATCTAGGAAGATTTGCCGAGCAGACTTTGGATGCTTATATCTTTTGGATGCTTGTGATAAGGTCGAATCCTGAAGCTTTCTTTAGATTCAAATTAATTGTTATCTTATCTGCTACAACTTTAGGAGTAACTGGCATTTCAGGCTGCACTTTGTATAGTTTTTTAATCCATAATTATTTTATTTTGAATATAAATAACACCAATATCCCTGACTTTTACTTTGTCAAGTCTTACATTGATTCGATTTAATGTCTTTATTATGTTCTGCATAACCTGCATCATTGAGTCTCTAGGAATTAGATATTAAGTAACTTTTTTGGTCTTAACGTTATCTCTTCTTTTTTGCAGCTCCATTGCTATTGTGCATCCTCTGCAGCTAGCTGGATGTTCATTTTTACAGTTAACACACTTGGTAGGTGTTCTCTTATTCTGGCGTTCTTTTGCAGAATGTTACAGAATAATCGACGAGTGCAAAGAAATCCGCAGATATTACAACATCGAAGAAGGATTTCAAGATCATAACTATGGGCTTGGAATAGCAGATTATGTTACAAAACTTCAAACGTGTTTTCCTCGAAATAACATTTTGGTAATTAAACAATTTCCTTAAAATCTTCTTTCTCAATAATTGAGCAAAATTATTGTCTTAATAAAAAAAATTTTATGTATAAATTCCTATCTTATAATCATTTATTTCGTATTTATTTGTTTTTCAATCAGTTTCTAAACCTTACGTAATACCTCTATGTAAAAAGAAACAAGATGCAACATCTAATTGATCGTGGGAAGTCATCATCAAACCGAAACCAACAAGAATTAATTTCATTCCGTTCCATTTTACTTAACTGTTTACACACTTTACAACCCAACATCATTCCACAACTTTACTATCACTTTATAGCTCGATAAATAAATCGAAAAAAAAAATAAATAGGTGAGTATTGCAAAATATTCCAAACTTGTTTATATTTTTTCTTCAATATTTATCAAATAACGATAAGAAATACTCAGTTCATATTTACTATTGCGATATTTGCTTTTAAACTCGATATGTTTAATCATGAGTTTACACGAAGGCAAAGTAAGACAATTATTAGTTTTTTAACGAGTGTGTGTATGTTTATTTTTTATTGTATTTGTTATTACTTTTTTACTTGTTTCGGTTTGTGTGGTTTTGTTAATTAGTGATGCTACGCTCGTTTTACTATTTTACTTCTACCTTTTACGGGGTTACGTAAATATACATTCGTTTTGCGATGTGTGTGTGTGTTGGCTCAAAGCATCTCTTTTTCGGTTTCGTGCTTTGTTTAATTTAATTTAATCATCGTTTTAATATTATAGAAGAAACAGTTTGTCGTTGTTTGTTGACCGAAATAGTTGGGTGTTGCTCCAAATATTTCTTTTATTTAATTATTATGTATTTATTATTGATAAACATATCGTTGTAATTTACATATTTTTGTTATTACAATTTTTGTTCGGTGTTTTTATTTTGTTGTTGTTGAGGAAGAAGTTTTGTAATTTTAATATGGAATTTTTTAAAAAGGTCAGTTTTTAATATATTTTATTAATTATTAATTAACCTTCATTTAAATGGTTCTTTAATTTGAATAAGAAAATAATTCTTTTATTTATTTTAAGTTATTTATTAAAAATTTAAAAATAATTTAACATATTTAGAGTACCTAGTACAGAAATCTTGGCATTGTGTAAGGATCAATTAATAACACATCCCGATATGTGCCAAATAGTCCTCACTCAGTGCTATGATTTTCCTCAATCCAACTGTTTTGGACAGTCTTAATATTCCTTATATCTATTGACAATGTTTAATATTCCTGCTCTCTAGGAGTCGTTTCTACATTTTCAACTTCAATTAAGCACCATATTAATATAAAGGATAATTATGTTTAGCTAAAACATTCAATTCACCATCAACCTTAATACTGATATCTCTCAACAACCATCTATGGTTTGCGTCAATATCTCTCGTCTTGAACAGTTATGTAAATTAATTACCCTTAACATTTTGGACTTTCATCAACGTCTATTCTCGATCTCCTCTGTTAAGCATCCTTAACCTCTTGCAACAACTGCCTTACCTAAAGACCTTGTCTAAGATCTGCAATACCACAGCTAATCATACCTTGATCTCATGTGACTCATGGGTTGTTCATAAAAAGGAAATTCAATTGAAGATATTATTTTAGTTAGCATGGCAGAAAACTTTTTTAAATTGCAAATTTATCTAAAAAGGTAGTAAACCCAAAGAATCACCGATTAAAGACAAATTGTGTCAAACTTATTTCTTTGGAAATCGATTTTGAGTTTGTTCGTTGTACACTTCACTAAATCTCCAACCAAATTGTGTTTCTTAAATTTATTATCACCCAGGATTCGTGCTGATTGATACAAGTAACCTTTACGGGTCTTTCTAATAGAATTAAATGATGTAATGCATCTAGTCCACATCACAAACCAGTTCCATACATCACACTTATAGCTAACGAATTAGCTAACAGAAGACTAAATCAAGAAATGCTGTTAGAAGTAAGAGTAGCTGCGGTTTGCAGAAGACTAGATATTACTCTCATAAGACTAAGTAGTGTTGGCAAAGTACTAGACACTGCTAATGAAGAAATAGAGACTATTAATTGAAGGCTAAGTACTGCTTGTAGAACACTATAGGTATATTGCATGTACAAGATAATATATATGCAGTATCTAGATACTAGATATAGAAAAGGCAGAAAACTAGATGCTGTTTTAAGATGACTAAATACTACTAATGGGAAAAATACATACTGCTAATCGAAAATTGGATTATGCTTATAGAAACTACTTAGAGCTAATAGAAGACTATATACTTCCAAAGCAGTATTTTATTTAAGACAAGATATTGTTTGCAGAAATCTAGGTACTGCTGGTAGAGAACTAGATATAACCAATGGAAAATTAGATACTGCCAATGAAAGATTACTTACGCAACGAACATCATGAGTACACTTCTCTTGGAGTAATAATTCTCAAAAGCAATCGTAGCAGCTGTGATCCCGCTCAAACAAATACTGAAGGAATGCACAAAATACAATGTATTTAGAGAAAAATTTTTAATGCATGCACTTTCAAAAATGTGGCAATGTAAGATTATATAACATTTTGTCCAATAGGTATGCAAACATTTGCTTCAAAGATTATGTCGATGCTCTATTTGGTGTCCCAATTACTACTTGCTACTTGGTGAATGCAGAGAAATCCGGGTTTCATATTGAAATGAAGTTATCCTGAGCTGATGTATGATACACAGTCAGGAAATGAGTGGTCGAGTGAGAGAACAGATGGTGGACATGAACCCCAAGATGTGTCCTAAAGTTTTGTGGAGTGGTGAAACCTTCGGTGTTTCCTTGATTCATGCAAAAGTTGTTTGCTTACGTGGAGACCTTTAGCGTATTTGTATTGAGTCAATTATTGATCGATCTTCTTTAGATAATGACGCAACGACTAAATCTTTTTGTTTGCAACTGTCAACCTCATTCTTCCTTCTTTTGATACGCTTATCACAGTGCGTTCGGCAAGGTCAATGCAGCGTGACTCACTATGTGCGTTTTCTTTCTGTTTCAAGTTCCAATACTTGCAATATACTTCTCACTCTCTCATAGAGTATACATGCATCAATATTTGTAGCAATTCCTACAATTTTAAGACGGAGTGTATTTCTTTTGCTGCCAGTCCATTTAAACAACGTTTCAACAAATTATTCTCTGACATTCACCAATCTCATTGTTTCTTCCATCACCAATCTCATTCTTTCTTCCATCACCAATCTCCATCTAGTTTTCCTGATGATGATTGCCTTGATTATGGGAGCAGTCATCATCCGCTTACTTCGGAGTAACTCTTCGACCAACACCCTACATGCCCCATCTTTCTCTTATCATCTTATTTGTTTGTCGATCTTGTAAACAAAGTTCTAGAATCGATCTCGGTGACTTCATCTCTATCTTTCTTAGTTACTGTTTTATTCTATGTATCTGCTCTGGTTTTATTTGTTTCTCCAAACTCCTTCTTGCATAGGTTACAATCGCTTGAAATTTCGACTCTCAGATAGTTGAAGGTGATATGACTTTACCTTCCATGTCCAATTTGCATTACAAGGTCTTTATAACTAGGTTTAATTTTAGTGCTTTGTAATGGTATGTGTAGTCATTTAGTTTGTTATCTGCATTTGGTTTTTATCATGAGCACCAAGAATCTTAGACTTGAGGACATTTTTTGTAGTGCCACTTGATGTTGATTTTTTAGGTTGTTTTCTCTTCTTTTTTACATCTTACATCTAGCTAAGTGTATGTAAACCGTTAATTATGGTAACTAAAGCAAGATTCTACATCCCCTTGATGTCCTCTACGTCATTCCAAGCTTCCTATTCCGGAGTTAAAGTCAGCTTTCCTATAAGGTACTAAAGTAGTTACCACTAACCACCGCTCCACGTTCTCAGATCTGTCATTAACAAGCAACATGCCAGAACTCAGTTGAAGAAAGTGAACTAGCGTTGTGATTTTCACAGCATCTGATTGGTACAGTATAAAAGATGAAGGAAACATTTATAAGGGATCAAATGACTAAATTTGAAGTTGAAACAGTTAAAAGAAATGCAAACAAGGGCGCATTCCTCCCTTACTCGGGTAAAGATCGTCAAAGATAGCTTTATCACCGGAAACGGAAACACTACCTATGTTTCTTATCTGAGAATAACATACGATATATCTTAAGTCGAGAAATATCTTTGAACAATCGTAGTAAAACATCTCCATCTTAGATAAACGAAAGTTTGAATTTTTGCCAAATATAAAGTTATGACTGAAAATGAATGTCATGTTGAGGGATAAAATCACAAATGGATCAAAAATTTTGTAGTATTGAGAATGATGGCTAAAGTAACTAGGTGAGACTTATAAATGAATGTTAAATCAACAAAGGCAGATACACTTCGTTTAATTGCTGATGAAATTGAAACACATAATAAGAGTAAAATTTTGAGATTCGAACAACGGAGAGCTTTACGCAAATACTAGAATTTATCAAGAAATGACCTTGAAACTTGCTAACTAATTATTAACTTGTCTCTTTATTTCCATTACATTCTCTATTCAATCTTTCTCCTCTATGCCCAGTTTCTTCTCTTTCTTATATGACAATCTCTCTCCAGTCTCCCTCTTTTTCAAGTGTTCCTCCTCTATGACCAGTATATTCAGGGATTTATTAGGATTTCAACTAGATTTGCAAGTATAACTAATAATTTCCATGGATGACGTAACTTGTTCCAAATATATTCAGGGATTTCGTCACAAAGCGATTTTTCTTAAAACGTTTCAAATAGAATTTCGGATTAAAACGCGTTTTGAATAAGTATCTCTCTTTGTTTTGTTTCCAACACTTTTCCAGCGTTTGTCTTCTATTGGCTAGTCTCAATTTTCACTTTTCAATCTATTTCTGCCATTACCAGTCTCCTCACAGTCTTCCTATTTTCTGCTTTGCCTCCTTATAACCATGAAAATCTCTTTTCAGTGGTCCTCCTTTCTGCCCTGTGTCATTCTCCTCTTTTTAGTCTATTTTTTGCGCCATTACCAGTCTTCTTAGAGTCTTTCTCTCCTCTGCCTTGTCTCTTTATAGCCATGAGAATCTCTTTTCAGTGTTTCTCCTTTCTGCCCAGTCTCTTCGTATTGTTTTCAGTCCTTTTCTTTTCTTTTCAATTTATTTTTGCCATTACCAGTCTTCTCACAGTCTTCCTCTTCTCTGCCTTGTCTCTTTATAACCATGAAAATCTCTGTTCAGTGTTCCTCCTTTCTGTCCAGTCTCATTCATTTCTTTTTGGTCCATTTTTGCCATTACCAGTCTTCTTACAGTCTTCCTTTCCTCTACCTTGTCTCTTTATAGCCATGAGAATCCTTTCTGTCCAGTCTCATTATTCTCTTTCCAGTCTATTTTTGCAACTACCAGTGTTTCTCTTCTCTGTCTCGTGCCTTTTTTGTCATTGCAGTCTCTTTGCAGTCTTTTTCTTTATGACTAGTCTCTTCCACTCATTTCGGGGTAACTCGTCGGTCAACACCCATTTTTCTCTTATCCCCTTATTTGTTTGTTGGACTTGTAAAGAAAGTTCTAGAATTGATCTCAGTGACTTCATCTCTACCTTTCTTAATTACTGCTTTATTCTATGTATCTGCTCTAGTTTTATTTGTTTCTCCAAAATGCGCTTGCTTGCACAGGAATCTTGCTAACTGATTACTGTCCATTATATTCTCTATTGAGTCTTTCTTCTCTTTGCCCAATTTCTTCTATTTCTTATATGACAGTCTCCCTCTTTTTCAAGTGTTTCTCCTCTATGACTAGTATATTCAGGGATTTATTAGGATTTCAACTAGATTTGCAAGTATAACTAACGATTTCCATGGGTAATGTAACTTGTTGCAAATATATTCAGGGATTCTGAACGCTTTTTAGGCATTTCTAATAATTCATAATGAGTTTATAGGAATTTTAACTGAATTTCTAAGTAATTTCATGGATGACAAAGTTTTTCATAGATATTGTTTTTAGGTATTTCCAGTAATTTATAAAGGATTGCTTCAGCTAATTTGGGCGTAGATATAACGTTTAATCTTGTATACATTTTTTTCTACTAAATTCATTCATAAATTAACTTTCAATCTTAATGGATCTTTAAAAATCTTGTAAAAGATCGTGTAAAAGAAACTTATAGATAAATTTTAATCGAAATTCTGTCACATAGCGATTTTTCTTAAAACGTTTCAAAAAGAATCTCGGATTAAAACGCGTTTTGAATAAGCATCTCTCTTTGCTTTGTTTCCCACGCTTTTCCAGTTTTTGTCTTCTATTGCCAGTCTCTTTCCAAACATCCTCATTTTTTACCTAGTCTCAATTTTTACTTTTCAATCTATTTCTGCCATTACCAGTCTTCCTCTTTTCTGCTTTGCATCCTTATAACCATGAAAATCTCTTTTTAGTTTTCCTCCTTTCTGCCCTGTGTCATTCTACTCTTTTTAGTTTATTTTTTGCGCCATTATCAGTCTTCCTTTTCTCTGCCATGTTGCTTTATAGCCATAAGAATATCTTTTCAGTGTTTCTCCTTTCTGCCTAGTCTCTTCGTATTGTTTTCAGTCTTTTTCTTTCCTTTTCAATCTATTTTTACCATTACCAGTCTTCTCACAGTCTTCCTCTTCTCTGCCTTGTCTCTTTATAACCATGAAAATCTCTGTTCAATGTTCCTCCTTTCTGTCCAGTCTCATTCATCTCTTTTTGATCCATTTTTGCCATTATCAGTCTTCCTCTCCTCTGCCTTGTCTCTTTATAGCCATGAGAAACTATTTTCAGTGTTTCTCCTTTCTGTCCAGTCTCTTCTTTTTGTTTCCAGTCTTTTTCTTCTCTTTTCAATCTATTTTTGCCATTACCAATCTTTTCACAGTCTTCCTCTCCTCTGCCTTGTCTCTTTATAACCATGAAAATCCCTTTTCAGTGGTTCTCCTTTCTGTCCAGTCTCATTATTCTCTTTCCAGTCTATTTTTGCAACTACCAGTCTTTCTCTTCTCTGCCTCGTGCCTTTTTGGGCATGACAGTCTATTTCCAGTCTTCTTCTTTATGACCAGTCTCTTTCTTCCGCTCACTTCGGGGTAACTTTTCGGCCAACACCGTATATGCCCCATCTTTCTCTTATCCTCTTATTTGTTTGTTGGTCTTGTAAAGAAAGTTCTAGAATCGATCTCTGACTTCATCTCTATCTTTCTTAGTTACTGCTTTATTCTGTGTATCTGCTCGGTCTATCTGCAAATTTCGATTCCTAGATAGTTGAATAGTTGCAGCTTCAATTTGCATTTTAGATGCTCCTTATTAGTGTTATGGTTTTTTCTGTAAAAATCCTCATATTGTATTTCTTTGTTTCGCAAAATTTATGGAGGAGCCAAATAAGAAAATTTATTTACTTTTAATAACTCATAAGCTATTTAAGCGATTTTCAATTACAATTAAAATTGTTTATGATGGTTTAACATTCTTAAAATGTCCTCTAAATTGTTTGCATTTAAATTCAACCCATGCAAGTCACTTCTTTTAACCTCGAATACAACCGGCGAAGTCTTTGACTTCGAATTACGACCTAAATGTGTCATTATTTCTTTCATTACATTTTTAATTACCATGCCATTGCATAAAAGATATTAATGTTTTATTTGAAAAACAAAAACAGGACGTCAAAACTTTCCCATTTTTTTATCATTTTATTAATTGATTATTCATTAAACCCGCATTTCACAAAAAAAATAATTATTTATACATTCATACAACGACAAGGAAGAGTTCAAAAAAGTCATTTCTGTTTTAAATTTATACTTTGAATTTATTAAAAACTGGTTAGATTTATTTATTTTAACTTTATAGCTAATGGGCATAAAGCCCAAAAGAAAAGTTTATCAACCCCACGAACTTCCAACAATTATCGTAGAAACTCCTCAAGGTTTACAAGTTTCCATCGATACCATGTACGACGAATCAAGAGATTTATTCGACGAAACCGACTGTAAACCAACAAATCAAGAAGAAACCCCAACAAAACCATCTCGAATTCGACGAAACAGTATATCCCTACCAAATTTAGACGATCTTGAAGAACAAGTCTTTGGGATCCAGGTAAAACCATGTTTTTATTTTTAAATTTTTTTCTAAAAAGTTATTGTGAATACATAAAATGGAATAAAGAATTTAATCGCTCAATTTTTATTTAAACATCTATAATGCGCGAGTAAATCAAGTTGATCGTTGTGATTTGTTTAAATTATTTAATACAACTGTTGAGGAGTGGACACGAGTAAACATTATGTCTCAAGGTTCGCTTGCTAAACGATTTTCTTCGCCAGAATTTGTGAATAGAGTGTGGAAGGTAAATTTGGAATATTTATTAACAAATTCTACCAAATCAGAAATGTGTTCTGCTTGTTATCTATTTTAAAACTTTTATTACACATTTATTTGAGTATTAATTAATAAGATTCTAATTTAAGCGTATTATTTTATTAAATTGTTAGGATGAAGAAATTTCAATATCCAATAACAGATTTTCGTCAACGGAGCCTTCTGATGATGAAGAGTTTCAATTCGATTTTGAAAAACCTTTGGAAAAACGGTGAGTTGTTTTAAATTTTTTTTGTAAATTTGATGGGAAGAATTATTTAATATCTTAAGAATTCATTAGTCTGTGGGATGACTTTAAAACAATTTTCTTAAGAATTCAACTTAATTAGAAAGCAGTAAATAAGCAGTAATAAGTTGCAAAATAAGACATAACAATTTTTGTATAACTTTTTCCTCCCAATATCAAGTCTTTTCTTCCTCCCCAACCGAAATAAACTGTTAATATAAACGTAACCACCAAGCTTCTCAATACTTCTTCTAACAACCACATTGGATCTTTTTGGAGACTCGGTTTAAATAACCTTGTACTTGCCACTGACAATAATAACACATTGTGAGTCCAACTCACAAAACAACCAATAATCTCTGTGGCGGTGCAGACTTTTAAGGAAGTTGATCTTTTCCCACCGAGGCTGAGAAAGATGTGTATGGTATTAGGAAATGAAAATTTGAGTGACTAGATCGTCTATCTTCAGTGTTGCACTCATACCTAAAAAAAATTTCTTACATGAACTCTTTTATAGTTTCATTATCGTTAAACTGATTCCTGGACACCTTTTCTTAGCCACTTTGACACCATCCAATGTTGCTCAGATCATATTATCACATATCTACAGTGATAGTAGAGTTAATGCAGAAAGCTGGATACTGCATGTATAAGAGAGATTATATCCTTCTTATAGAAGACTACATACTGATGGCAGAAGACTAGATACTGTTTGCAGAAGATTAACTGCTGGCTAAGGACTAAATACTGCTAATGGAAGTCTAGACACTGCTTGCAATAAACTAATTAGTACCAATAGAAGATTAGATACTGCTAATGGACTGTAGTGTGCCATGCAGCACACAAAGTGTAGCAACACAAAATTGTTTCAAAAAACTTTTTATAAAATTTATCCAGAAAATAAAAAACAATTGAAAAATATACACAATTCACAACAACATATATGAAGTTGTAAAATAAAATAATTTTTATGATTAATAAAGATTGTACATGATTATAATCCAAATCATCGTATAATATGGACTATATGCTCATTATGTAAGACTAAGTATTGCTGACATATGATATGTGTTGCTGGTAAAGGATACTCCCAATAAAAAACTAGATGCTACTCATAGAAGATTACTTACATGTTCCTTACATTTTCCTTCTTGTCAAGTATCCGTAACAGGTTCTGTTTAATGATATTCCAATCCAATTCTAATCGGTTCAGATCATCGCGTATCTTTTCTGGCAGTAATTTCGCAAATACTTGAAAAGAGTTTTAAAGTAATGTAACTTCGTCAGTATTGGAATAAGAGCCGACCGCGATAAGTTATTCCATCATCATCATCATTGGCGCCACAACCCCTGGTGGGTCTTGGCCTGTTCTAGGATCAGCTTCCACTTTCTTCTATCTCGTGCTTTAGCCTTCCAGTTTCTAACTCCCTACATTTTTAAACTTTCTTCCACCTGGTCCTTATATTTGCTTCTAGGCCTGCTTCTCTTGAGGGTTTCAAAAACTGATTGTACAACATTCGGTTCTTCATATAGCCGGTACAACTCAAAGTTGTAACGCCTTCTCCACATTCCATTTTCCTGAATATGTATATGTGGCGGAATATCTTTCTTTCAAAGCAGCCCAACAGGTTTTCGTCATTTTTGGTCATCGTTCATGTTTCTGGCGCATATATAACGACTAGTCTGTAGCCATATACAATCTTCTCCAAATTTTTTATGTTATTTTCATTTACCTAAGTTCCAAGGTATATAAATTCCTTTAGACTTTTGAACGTGTATGGTTCACTAATCAGATCTTCAGGTGGTGTTAGCTGAGCGTTATTAGTAACCTTCATATACAGGGTGTATCAAATATCTGGAATATACCCAATAACTTCGCCATTTGTGGTTTTAAAGAAAAATGTGTCAAATACAAGTTTCTTTATTAATCGTGGCGCATTTTTTTGTGACATTGGCTTGTTTGTATTGTTTTTTGTTTCGTTGCTATAGCAACCAACAATGTTATTTTAAAAGAAATGCATATGTTTTCTTGCATACTTTGATAGAGGATAAATTCCTCTATGCGATGAACATATCAAATCATATGGTTGTATGAGAAGCGTTTTCTGAAAATATTAAAGCCTCGATGTGGTCCATTTTTGTTCTTGCTATTATTAATTCTTCTATTAATAATGGTTCCTCTATTTGCTATACTCGATTCTCTTACAGTCTACTCCAGAGCGATGTTAAACAGTAGCCATAATAGGCTTTCCCCCTGGCGTAGCCCCAGACCTGTCTGAAACGATCTTGATAAGTTATTTTGGACCTTGACTTTACATTCAATTTGTGAGAGCGTTGATGTTACTAAATCTATCGGAATATTGAATTCTTTCATTGCGTTATATGTACAGTGACCTTCTATCTACACTACCGTAGGCACGTTTAAAATATATAAATAAGTGGTAAGTGTCCATCCCGTATTCGTAGGTCTTTTCTCGGGTCCGCTTAAGCAGGAAAATTTGGTCGACGGTTAATTTTCTGAGCGCCACTTTGTTACTTACCTACTATCTCTTCACAGTATGTTGATAGTCGGTCATAAAGTACGTAGGCTAACACTTTATATGCCACATTTAAGAAGGTTAATTCCCCTGTAGTTGTTACATCCGGTTTGGTTTCCCTTTTTATGTATAGGCACGATTATACCTATATTCCAGTCTTTTGGGAGTTTTACATGCTTCCAGATGATCCTTCAGCTTGTTTATCCCATGTTTCAGAAGTTCAGACGGTATGCCGTCGATACCAGGTGCTTTATGGTTCTTTAACCTATTCACTGCTTTGAGTACTACTTCTTCCGTGAGGGGGTCATTTTTTTCTCTTTTATCTTCCGCTTCTTCCATGCTCCACTATTAATCTCTCCTTCTCTATTTCTTACCATCGTCAACTTAGGCTTAAATTTCCTTCTATTTTGGTTAACCTCTTTAGTAGTGTATTAATGCCGATTCTGGATCAGGAGCGGCTTCTTGTGACGTCACGCTCCGATCTTATAAGTGACCAATTTAAATCTGGGGGGCCAAGAAGTTGCTATATTTAGGTTGGTATTGGAAAAGTAACTAGATCAGGTGATTTTTTAAAAAGGTAACTAGAAAAATTCGCGCCACCTAGTGGTTGGTAGTGGATATAAACCCAAGAGATTTCTGTACGCGAAAAGGGGGCGTCACCTAGCGGTAGGTAGTGAAAGCTTCCGTAAAAATTTTTTAAAATTATACAGTTCTGTGGGAAACCTCACCTAAAAATTTAGCCTTGAACTCATATCTACAGAACTTGAATGCACGCTTGTCGGAAATTAGGAATATTTCGGAATTAATATAATTTAATTTCCCCAAAATAAAAATAAAATTTTCACATTTCTTTCTGCGTGTTAAGTCTTTCTAGTTCGTGTATTTGGCGCTCCGTATATTCTCTGCATTCTCACATATGTCTGATTCTTTCTTTGTGTAACCTGCACTCATCATCATATACCATTCTGAATCCCTACGCAATTCTTCCATTGCTGCCTCCCCCAATAGCCGTGTATTCGCATGCCCTATCCATTTGTTCTTCTAGTTTTGCTCTTAGTTCTTGTTCAAATTTTCTAGCAGTCTGAAGATTTTTGATAGCTTCCAAGTTGAGCTTGTCATCTCTTTTCCATTTTTCTTTTTTGATATTAGAAATTCTTACTCTTATTTTTGATTGGACTGAAACCCATTACCAACCTTTGACCCCCCATAAGTTATACAACGCGACTGAAATGTCTAAGAAAACCATTTCTGTATAGGTACCTTACATTAATTGATTACGCTTGAATTTGAATGAATGGAGTTTTTAAACTACTGTTATACGACTTTTTGAGCAGATCTCAAATAAATATGTATACAGTTTATCTACAGTTTTCAATGAAAATGTACGATATGGTCTAAATAAACTGAAGTCACAATATTCGTTCAAAAACTGAACGGATTTAAGGAAATCCATGACTTAATCCAACTAAAGCAAGATCGTTCGTTGTCAAGGCTCTACAAAGACACAATATCGATACACAAACACTTTTCAAAAGATATGCACAACTAATTTAAGGAGTTTCAAGGAAAATTTTGCATATGATTTGATTAAGTCGCGTACTGTCAAAATCAACGTGATGCCTTATCTTAACATGGTGCGCAACCAAACCACTCTTTTTTTCATTACGAGTTAGACAAACTCTTTGATGCTGATTTAGCAGTATCTGTCCAAGGCTTGAAAATAAGTGCCATAAGATAGACAAGGTCTATATGTTTCTTACCAGTTGTGCATGCAATTGTAGAGGAAAATGCATCTAGTTCCAAAACATTAATGACAATACTCTTAATTTTCAAGTTGTTTTTCATTGGCAGAGGAATACATGGAGATCCTCTATCAACGGATTTCTTTAACTACTTAATTAGAAGCATAATGGGGGATCTCTATTTTCCACAACGGGAAATAGGGATTAGAATCGACGGTCAATAGTTAAGTAGCCTGCAATTTACAGATAATTTTCTCGTATTTGCAAATAATGCAAAAGTAAGTGGCCAAATAGATCGATCCATAAATTGGTTCCTATAGACAAGTTTTCATTAGGCAGTGCGACATCATCCAATACTGCTCGGGTCATATTATCACATATCTATTAAGGCAGTATTCATGCAAAAGCACTGTACGTAACTAAGTATTGCTACCGGAAGACTATATCCTCCTTATAAATGACTAGAAACTTATGGCAGTAGCCTAGATATAAATGTCATAAGATAGACAAGGTCTACAAATTTGTTACTAATTGTATACGCAATATTAGAGGAAGTATTAACTGCGCTAAATACATACTTAGAAAAATTGATATTTTGGCAGATCTTTTACATGCAGCGGACGATAATAAAATAAGTATTTTCATCATCATCATTGGCATGATAACCCCCTGTGAGTCGTAATAAGTTGCAAAATTAGCCATAAGA